CTAACTTTCTTTTAAATTTATAGTTTAATATGTTTCAAATTAAATAATGCCGTAGGCCGGGCATAAGCGGGCCGTAGGCTCGCAAATGGGGTTTGGGTGTGAAGCCCCCAACTATGGGGTACATTTTAGAAATGTATAACGGAAAGCCTCCCAGTCCGCCCCTGCCTTATAGGTATATTAAATAAAACTTGCAAGCTCAAATTTTTTGTGTGGACGATGTTAAATGTTGATGGATAATATTTATATAAAATATCAGTAATTTAAATTAGTAATTTATTCACCAAACAAAAAAAATGTATAAGTGATTTTTTCTAGATAGAGATATTAAAAACATTTTATTTAAAATTTTTGTTACTGGGTTGCTCTATTCAACAAATGAACTTAAGCAAGGTACATGTACATATCATAAATATATACTTGCCTAATTTTGAGAGAAATTGGTCCAATAAATAAAAAGTTAAAGGGTGGTGGCCAATCTTTAAACATGGCCATTTATGCCACATCTTCCCTTTACTGTAGATTTTATATATTAAAAATTAATAAGAAATTTTTTTTTATACATAAAAATATTTTTTTATTCACTTTAATATATATATATTTTTTTTCCGGTCATGGGTTACTTTATTTGAATATTTACTGATATTATTTATTTTATATTGATTAGAGATTCGCAATGCCTAGTCCCGCCTAATAATTTTTATTTGGACTGGGCTGTGTGAAAAAATTATTAGGCTGGATTATTGATGAATCCTGATATTTCGATAGAAGTAATCATTCAGTGTAGTATTTTTAATTTAACCTCTCCCCAATATGATAAATAATTATTTATTTTGCTATTCAACTACATATATTTTGGGTTATTACAAAAATATCTACCGGGACGAGTAACCTTAGTAAAAAATTTAAAACAGGTGGGCCCTAGTACAAATTTGGCTGAACCGGATAGGGCAAAAGCTAATTTCCATGCGAGCCAGGCTGGGCCTAAAAATTTTGCTATTTGCGAGCTTCTACATTCCAATTTATTTTTAAATTATATATTATGAAAAAAATTAATCTATGAATTCTTATCCTTTGTTGCTGGAAACATGCCAAGGAAACCGTTTTGAAAAATCATTCTGTATAGAAATGGCCTAATGTTTTTATGAAAACAATTTTCAAGAATAACCATAATAATTTATTGTCTTTAATAGTTTATAAAATTTCGTTTGAATATCATGTTTTTTAGAAGTTTAAAAAAAATACAGATCTGACACATCTATTCTAAAAAATTTTGGATTTGACATGAATCTTTCAAGAAAAAATATCGGATGGACCGGATAAAATTTTTAAAATATTTTTCCGGATCAAGTTGAACCCTGAATAGGTCCTATGCAGGCCTCTACAATATAAGAAGCATTTAGAATACAATTTTGCTGTGAACCTACATTTATTCCGCATTAATTCGCGAAATAAGGTCCTTATGCTGTCCTATGTAGATATTTGTTTGGTTAAGTATTATGATACCATATTTTATTGTCAATCAAACATCAGTAGTTGGGGGATCTTTATTTTTATTTTATTTGGCGACAATTCTCCCATTTAAAATTTTCCAAAATAGAATTTATCTTTTGCGAGTGCATGAAATTTTAATATATTAATTTGAATATTATGAATGAAATTATAAGAATTAATGAGTTTGTAAGCGTTTTTGTATATTTTTATTATGCAAATAATATTTTGAGAATTAAGATGACATATATTCATTGGGATAATATTATATGCGAAATTCAATTTTTGGAGATCCCAAATGATAAACTTATTTGGACTTTTAAATTTTTTAGATATTATTTTATAATCTTAATTATTTTAGTATATTTTTATTTTGGATTATGTTATCTGGGGTAATGTGTGACTAAAAGATAAGCAATTTTTATATATGAATTAAATGATTATTATCTTAGCAACCTTTATACTTTACAGGCTTCAGGATTTTTCCAAACTTCTTAAAATTTATTACGGCTTGCCATCAGTTCTTCTATTCTCAACATCTTTTACAATGGTGTTCAAACTTTTCCTTGTTACAATTAGAATAAATATTCTTATTAATTGTACGGCTAACATCAATAACTATATATAATTAGTATGCCCATTAGTAAATTTGGAAGCATTAGATCCATTCTACACTTTAATGAAAATAATAATTCCATATCAAAGGATCAACCAGGTCATAATAGACTTTTAAAAGTAGATCCCATTGTGAAAATGTTGTGTTTACAGTTATTTAATTGTCCCCTCTTTGTTTTTTTAAACATGGTCTAGCCTTACAAAATGTGAAATTGATAAACAACTATTCAATTTCATTTTTAAAGGTAAAGACTATTATCTTACAACCACATTTATTACCACCTAGGGAAGTGTATGATCTCCTATTGGTGGTTCGAATAAACACATAATCCAGCGGGGGTTTTGATGTTTTCATTGGCTTAAAAATATAAGCACATACATCGAGGGAGAACCCCTATATAAGGACGGGATTATTTATGTTTATGAAACTTTTATCGTTTTTACTTTTTACAATTTCTACAAATATTTAGTTTAATTAAATTTTATTATAATAAATCAATGACATATAATAATACCTAGACTGACGATTCATTCATTAAAATGCATTTTTAAGCGTCGTTAAAAGCAAATCAGCTGGACCCGCCATTTTGGTAACCTTTATAATAATTATTTTCATGTTAAAAACTAATATTAAATTGATAACTTACTTTCTTATTATCTCGATGATCAGGCAATTCTTTAATAAAGTTTGCATCAGATATAATATAAAATTAGGCTCTCGTTTAAAATTTTAATATTTATTACAGTAACCAAGATGGCGTCTCTAGCTGATTTGTATTGATGTACACTTTTAATGAATGAATCGTCAGTCTAGGTATTATTATATGTCATTGTAATAAATATGGATAATCCAATAAATCGTTGTGGATTACATGAGAAAATAATAAAGGAAAGATCTCTTATTGAAATGTGTAGGGCTTTTTATTTGTAGGTGCTCCTATTTTAGTGATCCCACCATCTATTGACAAGGTCAAAGCTTTTCCTAATAGTAACCCAGATTTAGCCGGTGCACCTACTCCTATAACTACCTTCGTCCCTTCTAAGTCTTTTACTCACTATTGTACTTCGAATTTTACAGAAACAATTTTCAGTTTTAGTCCTATTATTAAGGAAGACTGTTTATTAATCGATGAACAAACTCAACTAAAGCTCTTATACATTTAAAACAATATATGCGAATGAAGTAGTGTTGTTAAATGGACTCAATATCTTACCAGAAAAATATTACCTAAACCTCGAGAATTCGCTAATAGTTATCCAAACCTTTGTGCCATCTATGAACAAAGTCTTCAGGCTTGTGTAATATTTTTCTGGATAAAATATTGAGTTAGCCGTTTTTAAAAATAAAATAAAGACGTTTAACAGTACCACAATGAAGTCTCATAAATTGTATTCTTTGCAGTGTTTGTGGATTAGCGACGAAATCTATTCTAGGTAGGAAAATGATTCTGAAAAAAGACAATATTTAGAAGCGTCCAGCAATATTGTTGTGAGTTTAGACTGAGTTATATCTTCTAATAAAAATTATAAGCTAAATTTTGACAATTACTATACCTCAAAATTTTTTTGATATATTTGGCAGAGAGGAAAATAAACCTATTACATCAATTTCTCAAATATATTTATAGGTATATACAGTCTTGCTTATAGCAAGGAGGAACATGATCCCTAATTGCAAGCTTCTGACAAGGATTGAAAGGAAACAAAGAGGGTCATCATTTGAATACATGACAAACATCGAAGGAGTAGATACAACTTTTTTGGTATGGAAAGATAATTGAGCTCTAATTTAGCTGACTGCCTGCTGGTTAGCTTCAGAAAAAAGGTCCTGCCGGGAATTGAACCTCCAATCCTTCATTTGGTATCTCTTAACCAATTGAAAATATAATTATTAAAGCTTTCAATTTTTCCCTGCCATATTTTTAAATTGGAATAACTTAAAAACGATAATTGCATAAAATGAAATTAGAAGGACACAAATCGATTCTGATTAAAAAAGTAAAAATAATGGAGCTAATATCACGGATCTGCTACGAGGAAAGCATGCCTTCTTATTTATAATTTATTTAAGTCACGTCACATAATGCTAACATCTTTTTCAAAAAAATATCTTAAGTATAAACCATATATTTTATTTTACATTCTTTTGTTTTTAATTAAAAATTTTTTAAAACCATATTTATTTATCATTAATATTTATAAATGAATAAAATTTTATGAAGAAATCTTCCATCGGAGCTATGGAGATAGGCTGAAAATTCCTTACATGAATAAATATAATTTTATTTCCATAAATTAAGCTTCCAAATGAAAATAAATACAATCGATTGCGTTTTTTCTCTACGAACTAATAATTAAACTTATTATTATCTTGGATGATGCATTTGATTGTGAAATTGGGAATACAAAATTATACATATCTTTGTAAGTGGAGTTATTATTTAAAAGGAAATAACTTTTGTTAATATAAATTAATTATACTACTGGTGAGTTTGCTGCTTAGTTTGTTGTTTATCATAAGTTCAGATTTTTTATCATTTAAATGTTGATCAATGAATGTGATTGGTTGGACTAATTAATAAATAAACATTTTTTTAAAAATTCGGGGAAAAAAATAATTTTTTTAAAACGTGGGCGAGTCAAAAGTTAGACAAGAAATCGCGAGAATAGCAGTCAAATCTGGCATTCTACGATTTATAACATTTGTGGAATGAGAAAATGTCTCATCGGACTCGGAGTTATTCGAGAATGGATCGGTTAGTACTATTTTAATAAAGGAAGAATGGTATTTTATAAATTAAATTAGTCAGACAGAGGCAAAATTTTATTATATAAATTATTATTCCATTTTTTATAAGGCAGAATTCAATTTATAATTGTTCACATGCTATAATCATAATTGTTCAAAAAAATATCATTAGAGTGGATTATATTTACAATTAAAATTATAATATAATCTTAGAAGTACATATTAGTATTGCATAGACCGTAAAAAATCAAGCGCGAAATCCGGTCTTTTAAATATAATAGAAGTAATTAGAATTACTATTTAAAATAACGATGGTTCGGATAATTTAAAATGAATAATTAGAGTGTAAAATAATTGTATACGATAATCAATGAACAAATCAAGGTAAAAATAATTATGAAGGGCATCCAGGTCGCAAAAAATGCTCGTTTAGATATGAACTTACCTTTGAAAAACATCAGAGTCGCGAGTTTTGACACCGACCAGTAAGGACGTATGCCGCTGATATCTTCGTTATTAGCAATATTACACGTATTAATGGAGCTATCTTTGTCAGAAATTGTTGGAGAGGTTAGAGCTCCCTGCCTAATTTTCTTGGCAAAAGTATTCAAACACAGGGCTACATGGGAATGACAGTTATCGTAAAACAAGTTGTGAACGTGATAATTGTTGTACTCTCTAGAGGATTCCAACAATGATTGGTCCCACAGTTTGGCGGCGATATAATTCAAATCTTGCTTCTCGAGCTGAGAAGAAATTTTCTCAAAGGCGCCCTTGGGGAGGTAGGAAAGCATGATAGAGTCTGGAGTTATGGGATAATATTTAGTGGGCGAACCGAAAGCCATATCATTAACCGATACGTGGTAAGGAGAAGCAAAATCGTATATAATTCCCCGCGTGGATGTTATACCCATGTGCCCGACGAATGGTAGGAACCAAGTTATGAAAGGAATTGGGGTCCACACAAGGCTTGTAGGCGGGAAGGAAAAAGAGGAAGAAGATGGTGCAAGGTTGCCATTTAGTGAGGCGTGAAGTGAATTTTTCGGGCGTTTGCCTACCTCATCGGAATGGTAATGTGTGTTTTCTTCGGAAGAAGAAGGAATGTTAGAGATCGGGGTGAATGTTGATCGAGGTGATATCATTGATTGATTGGTTCCATTATATCTAGATTATTTTTCTAAGAATTAAAATGCTAAAAATTAAATTTTTCTTATATAATATATTAATTAAAACGATTATATAAAGAAAGAAATGAATACAAACATATAATTTAAAAAAAAAATTAACTAAATATAAAAAGATTTACAAAAAACCTATTTATCAAATTTATAATACGGGGTAATGTAAAACGCACTGTGGTGTAAAACTAAAAAAAATGTTATAATAAATATTGAATCTAATTATACATTCGATTAAATAATAATTATCTAATTCGTTATAATAATAAGTCTCTTTAATAACTATATTGTATTAGTAATAGTATATAATAATATAATTAGTGTATATAATATTAATATTTCGTATAAAACGAATTGTCTATTTTTTTTATAAGAAATATAAAAACTTAAAAATCAATTATCAATGCAATTTGTTTCTTATTCTAAAAATAATAATTGACTAAAAATCAAGGAATTAATAGGGCGACGCGACTGATAATGAAATTAGCTAAGTTGACGAGTAAGAAGCGAGGCATACTTGAGCTAAAAGATAAGAATATCAAATCCATATTAGAACATCCCAAAATTGGGCATGGTAATAACTTACATTTAGTCGCCCAACCAACATCATTAAAATGGTTAAACTAAAGGATGGTGGATATAACGACTTTAAAAATGGAGTGAAAGTTTTTAAATAATTATGATTACCAACCTTTTCTAAAATACTTAATTGATTAACAATTACAATTGAATCTATTTTTTTGTGAGTAATTACATTATTGACAATTACTTTTAAATAATTCTATAAAATAAAAATAATATAACAAAAAGGTGAGTTTCGTTTGGTTACAAACATAAGAAATACTCAGAAGCTTTATTGGCTAGTGGAACCTTTAACAATAAAATATAATATATTCGTTGTCTGTGGAAGCACTAAAGGGATATATTTATCAGACAAGAAATACAATATTTTAGCCTGTCCTCTTCAAAAGTTTAAAGGGCACAGAGGAGGGATAACTCTCCTTATTATAAGGGCTGTGCCGATCCACATATTTTTCACCGATCCGATCCGATATTGATTCAAAACCGGTCCGATACCGATATTTATATTATTTTTTACTCCCACACCCTTGAATTATTTGTAATAAGAAATCAATATTTTTTTATGCAAAAAATTGAATTATTGCATTTAATTTAATTTTTTTATTTCTATAATAATTAAAAAAAAGTTTACGGATATTGGTAGTATTAATGAATTTTTCATTATTCCTCCCCGTGAAATTAGAATTCCGCAGATAAGGCATTTTGCAAAATTATCTTTGTCTTTTATAAAATATTTCCATAATTCAGATACCATATTTAAAAAAATTCTTTTATTTAAAGTAGGGATGTACCGATATTTTTTATCGGATCGGGCCGATATTTCACCCATTTTAAGATATAGGTTATCGGCAAATATTATAAAATTTTCCGATCCGATAAGAAATGGCGTTTTTAGCAAAATAAAATATTATAAAATTTTTTAAAAAAGTTATATCTAAAATACCATTTATTTTTATAAATAAAATCAAATTCATTTTTATGTTTAACTTTTTAATAATAATAATTAATTAACATTCTGCCATATTGTTATTTTTTTTGCCCATTCTGTGTATTGTGTGATATTCTCTTCAGAATCTCTTTTTAGTAAAATTGACAGTCCCCATCCCGCAGACTGACCTCTGATAAATTGGAAATTTTGGTATTTCTAAAAAGATATCTTCGATTTACTTATTATGTTAATAGATTAATGTTTACCTATTATATAAATAAGTGATTTATCAATAAAAATATTTTATATACTTTTAAAATTGCAATTGAATTGAATATAAACTATAACTGATCATTATAATATATTTAAATGACATGTTATGGTATAGTTAGATGTTATACTAATAAAAAGTATATTAAAAATTAAAACCATTGGTATCTTTACAGAATACAAAATTAGATAATATCGAATCATCGCCCGATATCAATTTAATATCGGATAGGCTTCTAAGATCGGTACACCCCTAATTTAAAGTATAAATAATAAAATTAGCGTTATTATTTAAAAAGATTTAAAATAAATAAAACTTTAAGTGTTTTTCTATTTTTATAAAAAAAACTTTTAAATTAATACAAATCTATTTTAAAAAATTAATAAAATTTAAGGGGTGTTGTGCATTTACATGTTTAAAACAAATTATTTAGAAAATATTATTAATGTAAGATAAATATCATAAAATAACAAAAAAAAGAAATTAAAAGATCGGATCGAATATGTTTTTACAAGTATCGGCCCGATCCAATATTTTGGAAAACGTTAAATATCAGCTCCAATCCGATATTTAATATCTGCACAGCCCTACTTGTTATGATTTCATTTTAGTAAAAAAAAATCAAAGGCTTTCTCTAATTATTTATTTTAAAGTAATATATTTACAGCTGGGGCTGCACCGATCTACAAATTTTCACCGATTCGATCCGATCTTATAAAAAACCGATCCGATATTACTATATATCTTAAAACAAATATTTCCTAATTTAAAAAAACCAAATAATTTTCGAGAAGGATTATGTTTATTATATTTTTTATTCTCCATAGGTCAATCACCTCATTTAAAATATAAGAAATGTTTATAGCTGAATGTAGTCAATTTTTAAAAATGGTTAGGAGCCAAAAAAATATTACCTAAGCCTCAAAATTTCGCCAATAGATATGCAAACCTTTCTGTCATCTGTGAGCCCAAACTTGGGTAATTTTATTTTGATTAAAATCTTCAGTTAGCCGTTTTCAAAAATCGGCTAAATTGAATCGTTAACAACGCTAGCTGATGTTGTTAGATATGTTTAAACACGTTTCTTGTTGCAGATAATATAACAAATGTTTAGCAACATTATCTTAAATAATTTGATTCTTTTTTAAAACATTACAAATAAAATGAATTTTGGTTCCTTTTATTAATATAATATATTATAAAATTATGTATAAAATAAAATAATTATATATACAATCATAAAATAACCACCCAGACATACAATCATTTAGCAAAAAAAATTCAAATATTTATTATCCTTTGCAGAAGTAAAAAAATGAGAGAGTAAGAGTTTTATCAGAGTTAAAAAAACAATTATCCAGGAAATTCACTTATTTTCTTCTAATTGGAGAAGCACATTCTCCTAGACATTACCTCTTTTATTGAATTTATTTACAAATATTTTTATTTGTTGTGAACAAAAGTAAGTTGCCAGAGTTAAATGTAAAAAATAGTAAGGCCAATACTTTTTAATGTAAAAGAGCTATTGGACAAAATTATGACAACATTTTAGAAAACATAATATTGATATTTTGTTTTTTTAACATACAAAAGTGATATATGATGAATAAGGATTGAATCATATATCCTTTCACCTGCTTATAAATCTCCCTTATACTTAATTATTCTTAAAAAACTTCTTAACTGTAGCACAAGACCATACCTATCTTTCATTTTTTATGAATTTAAATTATTTTAAAAAAATCTATGGACAGAACCTATCTAAGGTTAAAATTAAGGAAATAAAATAATAATTAGAAATCTAGAATTTACCTTGCAATTCAATACTATAAAATCAACTTACCTTTTTTGAGGCTTTCAAAAATAAATTTATAAGTACTAAGCAAAGTTTTGATATAATAAGAATAAAAAAAGTTCTTCATCTTCCCTCCAACATATCTATAAGTGATTGCAATAGTAGATAAAATTTTAAAATATTTTTCTCAAAACCCTATTTAATCACCTTTTTACATCAAGAACAATTTGACTCCAAGCTGCCAAATAATTAACTAAATAATATACTTACTATTATAGTATAAAATATCAAATGTTAATTAATTAGAATCATAAAATAAAGATGTTTATGATTAAAAATTACTCCTTATTTCTTGTAATAACTTATAATTACAAATTAATATTTCCCCTTTGTAATCAATTACAATTTTAACAAATCACATATTAACAATGCTCAATCCTGAGGGGGATAACAAGTTTTACCACTGGGTTCCCAAGCCCAAGGCTTTTGAGAAAGCTACTACTTAGATTAATGAATTTATTTCTTAACACTTTTTATAATATTTTCTGTATAATAATTTCATCTATGGTTATATATAGCCTTTCTGGAGATTATTGAAAAAATGATTAATTTAGGAGCATGAAGAATAAGCTCTAAAAATATATTCTGTATATTTTAATGAAAAATAAAAATTATAAAAAAAATAAAGTCCAGGCTGGTCCAAAAACCAAAATTTTAAAATAAGGTTTGCACAGTCTGTTTTAAAAATTTAAAAAGTCCAATTAAACCAAATCTAACTTCAGAAAGACATACTAAGGCAGTGGGTTACTGCTCTTTAAGCCTAATAGTTTACACTATCAAAAAAAATCCAGATCTATTGAAACATATAATATAATTTGCAATTTAATAAAAATTAGACAATTATTTAAGAATCCGACCATTGAATATGATTATAACATAAATTTAAAATAATTACTTTTAAACAACTAATTGAAAATCTACAAATAAAATGTTCTAAATTTAAACCCTAATGAATAATAGAAAATATACTATTTTTATAGAAACAAAAAATGTTTATTACTTGGCTAAAATTAATGTAGAATTTTAATCATTTTATCTTAGAAAATATTTTTAAACCATATGAAAAAATGAGTGACAAACATCATATGCAAAATTATATAATTTTTTTTTAGTAAATTATAAGTATAATGTTATTTTAATATTATCAAGGAAATAAAACTAGTTTATGATTTTAATATTATGCTTGAAATTTAATTATTATTGTCCTACCTTTAAGATGAAAGCATACCTAGAGAAAAAATGTATTTTTCTTCAAACATTCATTAAAACCATATGATGGAAAGACCGAAACGGGAAAATGCTGGAAATAGAATGGCAGTATTGCTAGAGAAAGAGGACGAAGATGACTTTTATAAAAATGTCTATGGAGGCTTTAAAGATGTTTGTAATAGTTTTCAATATAATATATTTTTGTTAGGAAGAAAATGATATCGAATTTGAATCTGGCATGGAAGATAGCACTGATATATCAGATTCTGATATCAGTATTAGTGAGGATGATGCTTCTTATGATTCTTCTGAAATGTTGGAAAAAGAGGAAAAGCTTTCAAAAATATCAATGGTTAAGGTATATACATGAACACTATTATTTTATGAAATACTAATAATATTTTAATATAGGCTGCAATGAAAAAGTCAACCAGTTTGTTTGAAAAAAAACTTGTTAAACCTAAAGATTTAGAAAAAAATGAAATTGAGGAAAGTGCATCAAGTCTTTCTTCTGGTATAAGAAGGATAAATAACCTTTATTTCAATTTTTTATAGAAAGGATGGAAGTTAGATTATCAACATTAATTAAATCAGAAACAACTAAACAAAATCATATCAAAACAATAGAAAGATCACAAAAAATTAAAGAAAAGAGAGCAGATAGCTATAATCATTTTAATGAGACGATGTCACAAGCACAACTCTTAGAACAAGCAAAAAAAATGGAGCTTATTAATTTAAAGTCATTAGGTAATAAAATTATTTCAAATGCTTCTGATATATTTTTCAGAGGCATGACTAAAATACACACCCCCGATAACTACTTGCCCCCTATCAAAGTTAATATAAATTATATTAGTACAGAATTGTATTTAGCTTCATAAGATGAGTTAGAAAATGTTTTTTTTATTTAAAAAAAAATGGCAACTTAGTAAAATTTTTAAGAAATTAAGTATTTTTTCAAAATCTTAATAAGTTATTAATAATTTATAAACTTAGTATTAACATTTTTTGATTCCTTTTAATAAGCTATATATGATCTGCATTTATTTTTTATATATTAAACTTCTTCGATAGGGGGTGCGTAGTTTAGTCAATAATAATTTTTTAAAAATTTTACTATGTTAAAAAATTTTTTTTTCTAAATCATCTTATAAAGCTAAATACGATTCCGTAATAATATAATTTAAATTAAGCTTCTTTGATAGGGGGCACATAGTTTTTGGGCATGTATTTTAATCATGCCCATTTTTGAGCTGTGCTGATCCAAAATTTTTTCACCAATCTGATCCTTTATTTTTCTATATTACTAAAAACTGATCTGATTTATATTGATCTTAATTACCCTCTATCTTTGTATCAATTCATAAAAATATCAATATTTCCCATTTTAAAAAAAACAGCACTAATTTTCATGAATGATTTAGTGTATTTTGGTTTTGCTAACTCTAGCTGTTTAACAACACTAGCTGAATGTTACTCATTAGATATTTTAAAATTCTTTTCTTGTTGCAGATAATATAACAAAAAATTTTGTAAATTTTTTTTATAGCTTACATCTTTTTGGGTGGTTAGCTTTCAATATCTATTTCCATTTTATATTATTCATACAATCATTTTATTCAATTTTTATTTAGTGATATTGGCCTTACTTTCCTTTTTAAGCATAAATGTATTTTATTATCCTTAGCCTTGATTAACATTATGATAAATTAGTTTTTACATTTTAAATATATTAACCCTTTACCACATGATGTTTGCAATAAGTTAGAAAAAATTATCAGGTATTCCCTTTGACATATTAATCGATAATTGATTAAAATTTTTTTTTTATTTTGACCATAATAATGTATGTTACATATAAGTCACAAATTGTTTAAAATTTAACAAACAATTTATTGTATTTTATATATTGGTATGAAATAAAATAAAACATTTTTTATTTGCATGGAAACATAGTGCGCATTGGCTTCAAGCATTTTACAGGTGTAACGCCTTTACATAGTGGATTTTGCACCTGATTCTGGTTCTGTTGTTGGTCTTTTTTCAGAAGCATTTTCCTGCTCAGAATATAGTTCAAAATCATAGGCAAATCCTGATCCACCGCAAAGAATGAAGAATTTAAAGCCCCATTTATGAGGCTTCATTGGCATATATTGTTTTAAATGTATACGATAGTTGAGCAAATTTGCTCATCGATTGATAAGTATTCCTCTTTAGGAATTGTACGAAACCTATCTTGAAAGTGTTTCACAATTGAGACTACTTTTATAAGCCTATTATGGCCTGGTTGACCTTTTGCAATAGAATTATTATTGTCATTAAAATGAAGAATGGATCGAATGCTTTCAAATTTAGTGATAGTCATCGTCTTTTTTATAAGATCATTGCCAATTACATCTTTCCAATAGTCTCTTATGGATGGTAATTGGACATGAGAATATTAATTCCAATGAATTTCCTTAACTCCATTATAGAAATTTTTATAGGTTTGTTAATATTTTTTATTGCTGCATATTTGGTTGATTCGAGAACTACTAAATCTAGGAAATTATCATTCAAAAAATATGATAAACATTGATAGGGAGTATGTAAAGCCAGTATCTCGCTGGATAAAGTGGACTTTCCATTGAATTTTAGATAAATTTTAGAAATTTTTTTCCTTCCATATTATATCTCTTCGTCTATTTATAGTAGTAAAATTATCTGAAAATGTTGAATTATCATCCTCATTATCGTGGCCATTTTCTAAAAAACTGTCATCAGAAGAGTAATCATATGATGAAATCATATTAGAGTCTTATTAGTAACATATATATATATATTCGATTAAAAAATTTTTAATTAAATTTTTTTAAAATATAAAAACGGAAAAGAATATGGAAATATTTTAGTTATCTGCTTCATATTTTTTTGAAAAATAAAATCAGAGTTTAATTTAAAAAAAACGTAATTAAAAATTACGAAAAATGTCAATTTTGAAATATAGGAAACAGCTGGCATTAAATACTCGCACATTAAATAAATATAAGAATTTCTATTTAAAAAATGATTTTTCTAAAAAAGGAATGTTACTTATAAGACACAATTAAAATTTTCGCGCCAAGATAATTTGCGCGGTAAAATAGGTCGGAAAATTTACTGTGACTGATTAGTAGTCATATGTAATAAAGGGTTTTTAAGGCTGCACCGATATTTAGCGCTTTCAAAAATATTGCACTGAGCAGATATTTTTTATCTATCTGACTTTTTTATTGTTTTGGATTATTTTATGATTGTATATTTAAAAATTAATGAAAGGAACTAAAATACAATTTATTCAAAAATACTTTTGTATTTTCCATGTGGACATAAATAGGATATGACTAATATAAATTTTGTTAGCAAATAAAAAAAAAGTGATCGCATCAAATTCTAGTGTTAACAAGCTATATAAACTGAAAAATAATTAATTTTGACTGAAATATCAAAATGCGATGATGGGCTAAAAATATGTATAAGCACGATATTTCATAAAGAATTTACAGGGGGACATAATAATTCTATAGAAACCCTCAAAAATTTAACCTCAGAAAAATATCAATAATGGAAATATTGGTCAAAGTTTCTGGGCCTGCTACAAAAAATATACCCTTGCCCATATTTACTAACACTCTTAAGAGTTGTGAAAACAAATAATTTCACCTTCCATTCATAAGCACTGCACAAGGTTATAGAGGAACAGCCACACGATTTACCCACCTTGAGTATATACCTGTGCTTAATAGTAAGTTGCAAAGTGCCCAATTAGCTCATTATGCTTCCATTTTTTGAATAATCTTTTGGAATTTTATCATTTTATAGTTTTAAAAATAGATTATGAATAGTGTAACAATAAACTATTTATAATAAAATTAATAATATTATAATTTTTATTATATACCTGTTTTTAAAATTTATTTTAGGGATCCAAACCGAAACGAATATCGGTTCGGTTCAGGTTCGAATAAAAATAACGGTTCAAGGTTCAGGTTCGCTTCGTATAAAAAATAAAAATATTGGTTCCATTTGAAACTCTAAAAACCTATTTGAAAATTTTTGTATTCAAACCTACATTCGAATTGTATATAGAAAAGAATATTTTTTTATTTTATCAAGTAAAAACATAAACATAAAACCTTCAATTAATTGCATATTATAAAATAATATATATTTGTTATAAATATAACAAATAAATATAATTGATTAATTTTAATATGAACAACAATATTTAACTTTATTTATTTAAATATTTTTATTATACCGCACAATTAATATATTTTCAGGATTCGTCTCACTCAAATATTACATCTATTAGGAGATAGCATAGGCGTAGCCAGGGAAGGGAGCCAGGGGAAATTCCCCCCCCTTCAGAAATTTATCACTTTTTGTAAATATCATTTTAAGCTAATAAAAAATATCCCCCTTAGTCCTCCCCCCACTCCCTAACCCCCAAAAATGTATACATATATCTTAAACAATAATTTGAAAGAAAGAATGTAAAAGTGGATATTTTTTTATAAAACTATTTATCATAATTTATACATTTTTGGAAAAATAAATTTATAAATATATAAAATGAACCAAAAGTGTTTTTTTAATAAATGGAATATAAGCCAAAGATAAGTCTTAAGACAAAAGTGAAATGTATTATAATTATTAATAATAGATCCATAAAATTACTAAATAATATATTATATCAAATATAATTTTTTATAAAGTGAGTAATTTTAATTTATTTATCTTAATAAAAGTAAAATATAATTATAAAACTATTGATAAAATTAAATAAAAAAATTAAAGCACAATACAAACATTGGAATATTATATGTCGTAGATTTACAGTATATCAAATTTTATCAATTATCATATGACAATCAAGTAATTTTTACCAATATAGCGAATTATATATTTTACAGAAAACTATAAAATATCTTTAAAAGACATTGTGGAATGAATTATGAAGATTAATTTTTAATATCATTTTTTATTTAAAATAAATAGATGGCGTTAAATAATTGAACCCAAATTATTGCAATATTTATTATTAAGAGCATTGATTAGTAAATTGTTAAAATATTAACTGTAATATATTCTCTAACTGTCAAATATGTCTGTAAAAGTGGAATTTTACCTAGTATTTTATAACTTATATAATAGAGGAATATCAACTATATGTCTTTCTTTTTATAAATAAATTTCTTATACTCGTTTGGAATAAATTATTACTATGCTTTTATATTAATGTATACAAAAGTAATTTATTATATTTTATATAGTAAAAATATATTTTATATTTGTTCCAGGCTTATTTTTTTATTAAAATTAACTTCCTATCTTGTAAAAATATTTTATGACTATAGGCCCGCCCAAAATGGGGTCAGGTGGCGAAGCCCCCAGTAATTTTTTAATTTCCCCCCTAAGGAAAATCCTGGCTACGTCTATGGGAGATAGTATAAATTTAATTGTTGAAAAACATTTTTCCTCACTAACTTAGGTAGCCGGCATTGCCAGTATGATATCAGATTTGATGTGTCATTTATAAAACTGACTATATGTAAATAATTTATATATTGGATTTAATTTTTCCCTACGCATTATAATTTATAAGCTTAAAATATTTAAAAAATGTTGTAAAATGACAATATACTAAAGTTTATAAAAATTATGACTGATACTTATCAATCAAATGTGATTGATAATAATCCTTAAAACAATTCGAATATAATTAAATGTTTACAATAATTAATAACTTACACATTTTTTTATAAGCATAAATCTTGAGGCTCGAACCGGTTCAGATGCATTTTATCGGTTCGGTTTAGGTTCGGCTAGATTTTTTTAGTGGTTTAGGTTCGATAAAATATACCGGGTTTTAGCGGTTTGATGGTTTGGTTCAGTTTCGGTTTGGATCCCTGATTTATTTTATAATATTACTGGGGCTGTACCAATCATTTTTTTCACTTATCTAGTCCAGCCGATATATTCTCATTTTTATTTACCATATATTCTACGCAAAAAAATTAACTATAAACTATAGACTGAAAACCTTGAAAATGTTTATTTCTCATGACCCAAGCCATATTTGGTGCATTGTCACGAATTAATAAATTAATTTTTTTTAATTCCTCAATTTAACACGATAAAATATTGGTAATAGCTATGGCCGAATGACTCGAATATTTTAAAATCTACTTCTTGTTGAAAGTGGTATCACATTTTTAACGTTTTATTTTAATTTAAATTCGATTTTTTATAAGCTACAAATAAATTAAATTTCGGGTCCTTTTATTTTAATATTATTATTAGAAAATTATGGATAAAACAAAAATATGATTTACAATTATAAATATTTTAGTGGCAATGTGTTATTTTTTCAGCCTTTAATCATAATTTAAGTGCGTTTTTTAAATATTAAGATCTGATTGTACCGGAAATGCATTCCAGCATGTTTAGAATACCTTTCTTTTGAATTGTAGACAATTTTAGACAATTTTGCCATTAATCTTTGAGTTATTTATAATTTATAAATTTATTAATGAATTGATTACTTTTTTTAAAAAAAATCATTTTATGCAAATAATATTGCTATTTATTTCTCCATTTAACTTAGAAACTTACCAAAACAAGGAAGCAGAACTTAAGAAAAAGGCGCGTTCTTTTAAAAAACGACATCAACTCGAAAATTTTATCCGTTTTTTATCAACGTCGAGACACAAAATACAGAATAATTTGATTCCAGATCCAACTATCGAGTTATTTGAAGATAAAAAAATACTTAAATATAAAATATTGCTTATATCTTATAGATAAATGTTTTATGTAATTCTTTACAGAATGGATATAGAAACATATATTTCCCGAGATGAAAAAAATCCTATCAATAATATCGATCTCGATAAAAATTTACCTTCCAACGATATTCCAACATCGCAAAATTTTTTGGTTTTTAGCGACGAAAAAAGTTACGAATCTTATTTTTCGCTCAACAATGCCAATCAAACAAAATCGATCGATAGGGATCACGAGAAAATTTGCGAAATAACGGGCAAAGTCGCCAAGTACACTGACCCACTCACCAAAAAACCTTATTACGACGTCGAGGCGTTCAAGAAATTACGGTTGTTGTATCGAGAGAAATGAAAAAAAAAACTATTTTTATTTTATAATGTATATACTTTTTTGTAAATATATTGACAAGATAAATTAATTTTATATATAAGATAATTAAGAAGTTATCAATATGAATAGTATCTATCCAATTTTTTTGTAAATGTTAGATAGTTCACTCTTAACACAAATGTGAGCGAGCGCATGTTGGGATACGAATAGTTTTAATGATATTGCTCTTTTCCTCGAAAAAGAAATGAAAAATAGTTTGAATCTTGTGTTTGTCCACAAAGTTATTCGGTATAGATTATATCCTTTTAATTAAAGCGCCTTTAAAAGTAGCCTTGTATTATTTTGATTTAATTAATAATAATTTTTAGAAATAATTAAAAAGATTTATAGTTCCTGTTCTAAATAATTTTTTTTAAAGATGGTAGTTTCGATTCCTAAGTATTTTTCTAAAAACGGACTTCCAGTTTCAAACTCCGTTTTTAATTCTGCATATATTCAACAAGATAACCATTCATTAAATTAAATATACCCAAACCGAGCAGTGGATAATAGTGAGATGAAATATTTGTTATTTAATTCATATTTTTTTCAAATTATTCGCAAATTGCAACATGCTTGGTGCGTCATTTCTAAGTGAATGAAAAGTTAATGATGGCAAACTACGGTTTAAATTAATAGTTTTGGGCAAAAAAGGGGGAAGAATTAATTCGTTCATAACCAATCCATAAAGATTTTTTAAACTGAATTAATAAAAGAAGGCTAGTAAAATACAGGAACTCTGCCGGCCTAAAAAAACAACATTTCTTTAAGCAGAATTAATTTTAAAAATAGATTGTCATTTCCGAAGATTCGCCCGCCTTTTTCCTTCTACTCGTTCTTACTTTATCGCCTTGATCAGGTATTTTTCATTTTTACGCCTGGTTTATAATCATCGTTTTCATTATCAATACTATTGCTTTCGCCCAAATGAGGTAAGACCAAAATGCTCATTTCCTCATATAATTTGAAAAATGTACTCGAAAAATTATTCGTATATGAAAAGCGTAATACTAGTGTATGAAGATAGTTGTGTAAAAGGTAATCATTGAAAAATCAAAGTCGATGTTTCTTGGAACTGAAACAAAACGAGAATATGACCCGACTCGCGGGCATATTTTAGGCATTGCTTAATCATTTATTGAAAAAAAAAATCATGTTTTATTAATTCATCATGAAAATCATTGTCAGTCTAAGGTAAAAGGTTGCGATTCAGTTACGGTTTAAAGAAAATACAAAGGTTATTCTTCAGGTTTTGATGTTTTGTAATATTTATATCAAATTTTCTTAAATAAAAATATAAAAAGACACATAACTTGGATATAATATTTATTTGATAAGAGCGAAAAATTGATAAATATTTGGTTAGAAGGGTTTAGATCTTATTATTTATAGTATATACTTGAATTCAATCGGATACAACAACTAAACGGATTAATTAATATTTATTTCTAATAATTTAAACGCCAAAAAAGAAATTACAATAAAATTAGATTTTGATTCAAATTCTAACTATCTTCCCAAAGTTTTAAAAGCAAAAATCGAATCACTACGCTATAACTAAAAAATAAATATAATTGATATTTCTTCAGAAGCAGACAGAAAATTGGATACAATACTACAACCGGAATATTTTTTACATTAGAATATATCTACAAATTATTTATTTACACAAGTAATTTATGCAATATATTTGAAAAAATTACGTCGAATTGACTGAGACTATAAGAATAGCTGTAATTATTATATTGGAACTTAAGGAAATTAAGGTAAATGTAGATGACGAATTCTTAAATTATATGTCAATGTTAAGTCAAAAGCAGAGCTCTATGAATTTAAAATGCAAACTCAGGTTACGAATGGTTGGAAGCCATTCCCAGTTCCAATCTTGGCCTCCTATTGACTGGTGAACAGCTACGCATTTCTATAGCCCTCCGCCTTGGCTGTAATGCCGTAGTTTTCTCTATTTGTATCGACTGGCCATCCCATTGAATCTAATTACCATCCCTTGCACTGCAAGCTCTCCCATGGACGATAACCGCGCCATAAAGCTATCAACAACATTCTCCTAGCTGCCCTCAAAAAGTTAATATTCTATCCACCCTAGAACCGGTGGGCCTCTCAAACGAAAACGCCTTACGTCCCGATGGGATATCTCCAATTCCCTGGACTAATGGTCTCCCGCTCGCTTGGGACTATACCTGTGTAGATTTTGAAGCAAAGTCCAACCTCTCATTTTCTGCCATTGAAAAGGCTGAAATCATTTTAAAAAAACATATATGCTTACCACCAAAACCGTTTTCATTCCATTCGTTACCAATACCCTAGGCATGTTTGGAAGTGATGCCCTTAAATTCATTAAAATCATAGGGAAAAAAATGAGACAGATCTCAGGGGACCCCAATGAAGGATTTTACCTTCGTCAACAGATTTCCCTGGAAATCTGTAGGTCTAATTTTTTTAGCATTCACTCTTCTTTAGGGTGATTTGTACCCTTTTTTTAAAAAAAAATATATTTTTTTCTTAGTTCATTTTTATAAAATTTATTTATTATTCAAAAAAAATATATAAATTATTTATAAATTTTATTTGGATCTAAATAATTTAAGGCAAGGTGGCGCTTAAAATCAAAAATATAAAATCAGGGTTGGCAAGTGGATCAATTGACCGGTCAAATTCAGTCAATTGACTGGAGGACTTTTTGACCTGGTCAAATACTCTAAAAAAATTTAAAGTAAAAATAATTAAAAATAGGTTTAAAAAAGAGAAAAAGGTATAAATACATGAGATCACAATGTTGCTTATTTTTTGGGTCCCCAATATCAAGATAAACATTTCACTAGTAGTGAATTTAATGAAGTATGTGATTTAATTAAAGAATTCGCCATTTTACAAGATGGTGATGACCTAAATATTTTAAGCGATATAATTAATTTCAGAAGCAAAAACAGCATGTTTAATAGCAAATTATGTGGAATGCAGTAATTTCAAAAAGAAATAACCAATTCCGACCTCAAGTTAATAGATTAAACTTTGCTTACCATGCCCATTATGAGACCAAGAATTCCTATTTCTTCTTTAGAAAGAAATATGTCGATTTGGGTTAATATTCTTATGAAAATAATCGATTGAAAATCTCGACATCAGGAAAATTGATTAAAAATATAAGTGATAATATTGAATATGAATCAGAACAAGACTCTGCTACGGAGAGCTAAATATTAGTTATTAAATGACAATGAATTTAAAAAAATTAATATTAGATTCATTTTGCTATTATATTCAAAATAAAGTTAGTATTGACTTTAAAAAAACATATATTTGATTTGATCATATTTGATTTGTCAAATATCGGTCAATTGACCGAAAGGTATTTGACCGGACAAATACACAACCATGTATAAAATATTTTATAGAAATCGATTATACTGAATAAAAAGTTCTAGGAGAACAATATTACAAAACCTTTTGGAATAGTTTAAAATTGATAGTGCAAATTTTCTTTATTCCGTGAGGGAAATAAGTAAAAAAAATAAAACTATAAGTTCTGACTTGATTAAATTTTAGACAGTTGATGATTATAACTAAACCTTTAAGTATTGAAATATATAGTACAAATTATTTTACTCCTCGAAGTAAGATTATTGGCCCAGTCCAAAATCTAACCATTTAAAAAAATTTGTTTTCCCATCGTGGAGTGAAGAAAATTGAACAACTAGGGACCGCCCCACGGGTTTAAAATTTTTAAAAAAAAATTAAAACGGGGCTAGCAAATATGTAACTGACGGGCATGGGCAATTCGTATATAAAAAAATTTCGGGGCGGGTAATTTATGCATAGAAATTCAGTGAGGGTCTCTCAAATCCTAATTTTTGAGATATTAATAGGCCAAAAAATTTTTTGAAAATGGGCAAGCGGGCGGGTTAAAAAATTTTGAAACTATGGGCGGGTTAAGAGATTTAAAATTTTCGTTCAAAAACAAACTAAAGAAAAATCATAATTAATTAAATGATCAATAAAAATATTTCTTTTTTTTTACTGTGCCATTCGTTTTTTTAAGTGAAGAACACTTTACTAGTTTTTCGACATATTTATCTAATTTTTCCCACCATATATAATGTCTCGTAATAGATTTCATTGTTGTAATACCAGGATGTCCCGTATGCAATATATGCAAAACTCTTTTTTGAAGTGAGTACGGAATGATTAATCTGTCATTCCAAAATAAGATACCGTCATCATTTTCTATTTCATCTATTCTTGTTCTAAAAGTTTGCAATTCTGGTACTTGATTTTGTATATTTGTACCATTACTTTTCTTGAAAGAGTTAATGTGTTATAAGTAAGATTTCTTATATATTTCTGTTTTATTTTCACTTGTTATTCTATCATCATTTTTCTCTATTGGGTTTCGCGATAAAGCATCTACAATTATATTATTAGCGTCATTCTTGTACATTATATTATAATCATATGCAGATAATTTATAAACCCAACGTAATAATCTTTGGTTTGTTAATGAGCTTAAATCTCTGTTATTACCATATATCTTTATTAAAGGTTTGTGGTCTGTTCAAATTTTAAATTTTAGTCCATACAAATAGTTATGAGATTTTTCTACGCAGTTTATTATTGCTTTTGCTTCTTTGTTTATTGTAGAATAATTCTTTTCAGCGTCTTGTAAAGTTCTTGAGGTGTAAGCTATTGAAAATTCGGTACCATTATCATATTTTTGCATGAATACAACTCCAAATCCTTGGTTAGATACATCTGTTTATAATATTAACTCGAGGTCTGGTTTATAAAATTGTATAGTATTTTGTTGTTACTATTCCGAATAGCATGAAGCGATTACGAAAATAGCACGGTATTTTATTTTGGAATGGCAGATTAATCTTCGTACTCACTTCAAAAAAGAGTTTTACATATATTGCTTACGGGACATCTGGATCTCACTTGAGGAAGAGGATATACTTCAGACGGATATCCTACTTTGGTGGAAACGACAAGAGATTTGCCAAAGTTATCAAGATTAGTAAGAAAAATATTGGCAATTCCTACAACTAATGCTTCTTCTGAACGAGGATTTAGCATTGCTGGAAGGTTTTTAGAACAAAGAAGAACGTGTTTGAATCCAGAAAATGTCGATTCATTATTATTTTTGCATTATAATTACATACAATATCAATTTTTTATTTATTTCATAAATATTCTAATTGATCAAATAAATTGTTCATAATTTAAATTGAATATTTTTTTATGCTTAAATTAATTTCCTAAATTATAAACTTTTTGTAGAGATGTAATGCTGAAATATTTTTATTAGATGTTTAAAAAATTGAAAGAATGGCCATTATTAAATTTTATAAGTGGACTTGGGTTAAAATTTTTTATAAATAATGGGCGGGCGGGTAAAAATTTTTAGACTAATGGGCGGGCGGGTAAGGAATTTTAAACAAATGGGCTGGACGGGCGGGTATATATTTTTTTGAAAACTATGGGCGGGTTGTATATTTTTTAAAACTTTGGGTGCAGACCTCTAATCTGATTTATATATTAAATCTTTAAATAATATAGTATATTCACAAAAGAAGTAGTTAATTATGAATGATTTCTTTGTGAAAATATTATTTTTAATCCTTCATAGTACAAGTGAAAAAAAATGGTCGAAGATGAGCTTTGCCTATAGCCATTTCTCTTATAGAGTTTCGGCTAAAAAAGTTAAAATATAACATTAATATGAGATATTTATTCATTTATTATACAATTTGAGAATATTATTTGCCACTTTTAAACGAAACTTCATTTTGCTAGTATATTTGATTAACTACCAAATTTTGTAATTTACTTTTACATTTATTATATAATTTGAGTATTTACGGTTAAATTTCATCCATTAACACTTTTAGGTGAAAGGGTATTTTGCTAATATTTTTCCTCATTTTTTATTTTTTACTATTACATTTGCTTATTTATTATATAAGGGTATTGCTATTAAATTTGGTCTTTTGAAATTTTTCGTACTTTTAGGCAAAGGCATTTTTTGTCATTTACTATCAAATATTTGCTCATTTATTATATTAAATTTGGCCCTTTTGCTCATTCAGTCGAAACAACATTTTTCTAGTATTTTTGCTGATATATTATTAAATTTATTTATTTGTTATATAATTTGGACATTTGATATATTTTTTGTAAAAAAATAATATATTGAGAAGATAAATTTAATTATAATTGTTTTAAATAAAGTATGAATTTAAGATAATTGATATGTTTTCAATTTATTGACAATATAATAAAAAATATAAAAATGCAATGATGACAAATAATGTATTTTGTCATGATATTTTTTTTATATAAAACATTAATAGTATTTATCCAATTTTTTTTTAAAATATTAGATAGTTAATTCTTAACACTAATGTGGGCGAATCGTAAATGTGATAATTTTATCAGGTTTATTTTAGCGTAGGTTGTGATTCGAATAATTTAATAATATTGCTCTTTTCCTCAAAAAAGAAATGAAAAATAGTCTGAATTTTGAATTCTTGTTTTTCCGCGACGTTATTTGGTATGGATTGTATCCTTTTAATAAAAGCGTCTTGAAGAGTAGCTTTATAAGATCTGGATTTAATTGATTAAAAATTATAGTTTTTTTAAAATGTATACTTAATTTAATAGTTAATTAATCATTTATTCATAAATACCCAAATTTTTATTATAATTACAACAAGAATATTTTGACAAAAATAATTCAATTGAATATTAGATTATTTAACCCGAATCATTATTATATTTATTTATTAACTAGAGTTTGAAACCTGAACTAAAAAAAGTTTATAGTTTCTTTTCTGAATATTTTTCTAAAAAGATTGTTATTCCTAAATTTTTTTTAAAAAAGGACTTAGGGTTTCTTATTGACTCTCCTGATATCTGACAAGACAACCTCTTTTAAAAAATATTCCAATTTTAATAAAAGTTATGTATGGTGGCAAAACTATAATTAAATTAATACTTTTAGATAGGATATTTATTTTAAAATTGAATTATTTAAACTCTGCCAGCATTTTTAAAAAAAGATTTTTCCAACTGAATTAATTTAAAAAAATTTTTATAATAAGTTTTCATACCCAATAGATTCGTCCGCCTTTCTCCTTCTACTCGCTCTTACTTTATCGCCATGATCGGGTATTTTTATCAATTGTACGCGTGGTTTTAAATCATCGTTTTCATTGCCAATACTATTGGTTTCGCTTGTATGAGGCGAGACCAAAAAGGCCATTTCCTCAAGTAGTTGGACATCGCAAACGTACTCGAAAAATGATTCGTATACGAAAGGAGTAGCATTCGTGTATGAGGCTAGTTGTGTGAAAAGTAATGATCGATCAATCAAAGTAGATGTTTCTTGGAACTGGGACAAAACGAGAATGTTCCCAGTTACGCAGGAAGATTTTGGGCATTGCTTTGTCATTTGATGAAAAAAAATGATTTTACAAAAGATAATAAAACCATATATTAATTCTCAGCTTAAGATAAGAGGTCTCAATTCGGTTATGGTTTTTAACAAAATATGAAGGTTTTAAATTTTTGTAATATTTATCAAATTTTTAAATAAAAAAACGTGCAAGAGGCAAAAATTAAAAATAAATATTTGAAAGAAGATCATTGGGTTGAAACGTTTCGATCTTATTATTAATAATATAGACTTGAATTCTATCTGATACAAACAAATAAATTGATCATATATATTTTATTTCTAATAATTAAATGCCAAAACGAAACTACCATAAAATTAGAAAAATATTATCAATTTAAGATTTAAATTTTAATTATCTTTCCAATGTTTAGAAAACTGATCACTACTCACTAAAAAAATTAAAATTCTGGAAAAATATAATTATTAAAAAATTACCGTTATAAAAATACTCCCAAGGAAAAGTGTCACTTATATCAAAAATATGCTCTTAAATTTTAATATACATATGTCAGAGACCTGCAGAAGTTCGAAAATTTTTTCCGGTCCGGCCCGGGTTTTATGTTTTCAGTCCATACCTGGCCCAGATTATTTTAATTTTTATGACTAATACTAGCGATTTAAAATATTTGGTTTTTAAATATACGGCCCGGCCTGGGTAATTTTAAGAAAATATTTCAGGTCCAGGAGGGTATATTTAAAAAAAAAATTGACCTGCAGGTCTCTGATATATAAAGTGTTTATACCAGTTCAAAAACAATTATATTAGTGTTTGGCTCACCCTTTTCGCGATTTAGTATAGGTTCGATTAAGGTTCAGAAACTATAATAATTCATTCCAATATAAAGTTTCGGCTAGGGTCCCTGTTTGTTTTAAGTATACCCATAAAAATACGGATAGAATAATTCAGTATTCGTATTTGTGAGGATAATAAAAACACTATAAAAATATTTACAAAAAGGCGAAAAGCGATTATTAAAATTTAAGAAAAATGATTTTGGAGAAAAAAAATTAAAATATTCCACATCGAAAAATCAAACGCAAATTTTTTTCTTATTAAATTCTTTATAAAGATTATTCTTATATGTACACCTAAATTCAGGTTATCAAGAATGTGATTTTCAATAGGGCTAATTTATGAAATGTGATGAATGACGGTAAAAATCTCACTTTAAACAGCAAGGTCACGAGGTATAAACAATATTTAAAAAGTGTATGGCTGTTTAATTCAAGATAAATCAACGTTTCGCCTCCTGCCCCCATATCATCATCATGCGTTATATTGGTTTCAGCGATATCTTCGTCAGTTTGTAGAAAGGTTGTGTAATTTTTAGAAGTTTGATAAAATTTGATCAGACTCTGATAGAAAAAAGGGTGTTCCTTTAATATCGTAAGAATTCTGTAAACACATTCGAGAGAACGCTAGATATTTTATTGAAAACAAAATGCGATAATTTGTTCAAAGTATCGGACAATTTTTTTTTTCAGAAAATTAAAAGTAAATAAATCAATCATGTTTTTCTTTGATAAAATAAACCGATTTTTGTTACATAACTAGAGCTCTGCAAGGTAATATTTTCGCGGCCTGAGCCCGAATTTAAATTCTTTGTCAGAGCCCGACTAAATTTTTTTTTATAATTTGAATTTAATTTTATAACATCTAAGATACAATTAAAAATGAAGTGTATTTATTCACATATTGCCACATTAAATAAACATAAATTTAACCCGTTCTAATCAATATTCATATAAAGTTGAACTTTATTTAATTTAGACATATATATATATATATATAATTCAGTTTAAATATAAAAAGTAAAGTTAAAAAACAATCGAATTTTATAGTGAAAAAATAATTTGCATGATTGATGTCGAAAAAAGATGATAATTGTTCATATAGAGAAAAATCCTCTAAAAAAATATAATAATGAACATATTAAAAAGACATATCAATATCAATTATTCTGATTGACATTTTTCATAAAACAAAAATATATGTATTATTAAAGATATTGTATTTTTAACATTTATTTATAGGGTCGGACACCTCTTACAGCCCGACCCGAGCCCAAGGAAAAAATCAATGTCCGAACTCGACTAGAGCCTCGGGCTTTTGACAGCCCGTGCTGACCTCTATAAATAAATTTTTTTTTCAGAAATCAACAGGCCCGGTCCGGGTATTCGGGCCATAAATTTTTTAAAATAAATCCGGGTTAAGCCTAAAAAATTTTGGTTGTAATCGGGCTGAGCCGAATATGTCTCGACTGCAAAATAAAAAAAACTTTGGCCCAAGGTCTGGTGAGAATTTTTTTCAGATCTAGGTTCTGTCTGTGCCTCGAATTATTTTTTAAAAGCTTATAAAGAAGAAGACTCAATCACAAATCATAAAAATTAAATTATTCGAATAGAAAATCAGAATAATGCATTTTTAGATCTGTATTCATCTTTGAATAGGTCTAGCCACCTTTTTATATATACAACCTCCTTTCTATTTCCTTAATAATATATGATAGCAATGACTCAATAGCTACCCACTTGTAGAACATTACAAAATTTTTGGGAGTAGTTTATAACTGATAACGCCTTTATTAAGTCAAAGGAATTTTTTTTTAAATAACTTAATTTTGGATGGACAAAAATATTTAGTATGTTTTAAAAATTTAACTCTTTTCCGTCGCGGAGTAAAAAATTCTCACTATTTATTTCATACTACTTTCAAAGGTTTAATAATACTCATCTATCGCCCTTTCTGGTCTAAATCCTATTCTTAAAATATTTAATTTCTCTCGTGGAGCATAGAAAATTCCCTCTATCAATTTCAAACTATTCAAAAGGTTTTGTAATACTGATCCACTACCTATTTATCCGATCTAAAATTCATAAAATGTTTTATATTTTAGCTATTAGCGTTACTAGAGGTCTACTAAGTGATTTTTTAGCGGTTCGAGTCCAAATTATAAAAAAATTTGCCCGAGCCCGAATTTAATAATTTTTTTCAAACGACCAGAACCCGACTAATTTTTTTATGAATATTATAATATCCAAAAGAATTATGTGTATTACTTAAATAAAAGTGTAGGATCGCCATAATATAATTAATATTTATATTAAGTTGCATTTTATTTAAATTGACATATACTTTTTTATTCAGTTGAAATATTAAAAAGTTGAAATACAAACCAATTTAAAAATTATTTCCATTATATAAAAATAATGTTATGATATAATGAACATATAATAAAGGTAAATCATTATCATATCATTATCAATAGTAACAGTGAATAATTCTGATATATATAAATAATGAGGAGTCGAGTTTGTCAGGCTTTAAACAAATCCTCCTATCTTCAAAAGCCCGACCAGCTTGTGAAAGCGCTCTTTCACAGCTAGCCGAGGAAACAGAGATAACTATTTTGTTATTATAATTATGTGTTATTATTACATACTTAATTTACATCATATTCTATCACGTTAATTTAAATATATTTATCTAATATCTATTTAATCAAATAGCCTCAAATTTTCAATATATAAAATCGTTTACCAACAGGAATTTAGGTAACAAAACACTTAAATTGGGAAAGTTGTTTTGATATATCTTCCGATGTTATGAAAAATAATATTTGAAAATGACATGTTATTCTGATTGATATTTTAATGATGAAATAAATGTATTAGATAATAAATGACATGTTGTTTTTGAAAGTTATGAATTAAAATGATTATTAAGGATATTTATATTTATACTTATCGGGTGGGGTCGGACACCTCTTACAACCCGACCCGAAAAAGTCATTTATGCCAGAACCCGCGAGCTCGGGTTGGGCTGGTCTACGGACAACACGTACCGACATCTAAGAGTTACCTTGAGTTGAAATATTTACAGCCAAATAAAAATTATTTTTTAATATTTTTGCATATTATTAATTAAGAAACTAATCAAGTTTTACACAAATTACTTTTAGACTTACAAAATGTATTAATATTTTTAAATTTATTTAAAAAAAAATCATTTAAGAATTTCTTAAATAAAATGTTTCATGTATAAAAAATAAATATCGATGCTACTTTTTTGTTTTTCGCGTTGTGTTCGCTATTAAGGCACCTATCTTCTGCCCTCCGGAACCAATTTTTATAAAATTTTATAACTTGATATGAAAACTAAAAGTCTGAAATGAACGAGTTTTTAGCCAATCCATTCTCTGGTCGGAAATATTTTAAACATTGGGCGGGTGGGTGGTTTAAAAATATTATTTATTTAAATATTTTTTGGACGTAATAAATAGAACAGGCTTATTCATTAAAAATCATTTTTTAATTTCATAATATTGCTTATTTTATAAGTTTAATTAAAAATACATAATAAAAAAATAAAGAGCCAAACCAATCATTAAAATAATTTTTAAAAATTGGGCGGACGAGCGGGTTAAGAAAAATTTAACAACGAGTGGGCGGGTTTGTTTGCTAAAACTCGCCAATTGCATATTTCTAGTGGAAATTGTTTGAATTAATAAGTGGTATGTTATGTATTATAAGAAAATTTCAAATTATTTTAGAAAAGGATTAACACAAAACTAAATTTATAATTGTAATTTTTTTATGGTTTAACTAAAATCATCTAATAAACAATATGAGATTTTTTTCCTACCAAATTATTGAGCAAAAATCAACAAAATAAAAATAATTTTATTTAAAATCAATATAAAAAATGATGATTTCATTATGAAAGGACATAATAATAACAATTACTTATAAGCAATATTTTTAAAAAAGATTTAATTTAGACGAAATTATATCAAACCTGCTTAAACATTCTCAAAAAATTTGGTCCTTCAAAGAGGTCAAAATCTATAAAGATTTTAAGCATTTTATGAAACCATAATTTTTTAACACCTTTGCTGATAGTTGGTATACACAGAAAATGTTGCAGTTATGACTGTAAGGTTAATTGCATCCATTAAAATTATAAAAACTCAACAATATTATATTTATCTCAAATATTATCAATTGAAGTTTAATATCTAATAATACATCAACTTCATCAATAAATCTAACAAATTTGATCTTACAACTTATACAACATCGACATATAATATATTTTCCTTATTTGTATTCGATAGGAATTAAATCGATTAATTAGTTATAGGTATAAATTATTATATCAATAAATTTTAATAGTTTACACATCAAATTGTAAAATTATTGATAAAAAAAAATTGTTGCGACCTTGATAACATCGAGAATTATTTATATATACATGAAATATTTTATTTAAAATATGGCTTTTAAATTATTGTTTTAAAAATAAATTCATTTAATAATATTAATAACATTTTATAATAATTCATATCATTTTATCTAAAATCTATTTGTGTAAAACTTGATTAGCTATTTTAGTTAAGGCTGTGTCCAAAATATTTAAAAAAAAATTGATTTGCAAACTTTAAAACTTTATCAAAACGAAGAAATAATATTTTTTTAAAATATAAAAACATGTCCAAAATTTAATTTTAGAAAATGTAACAAATGATTTTATTAATATTTTAAAACTTCTCAAAGTTGTTTAAAAACTTTCAGATGTTTTAAAATCCGGGCCTGGCCGTGCAAATGTTACCTCTACAGATCTCTGAAATTATTATATTCATTTAAAAAAATATGTAGTAAGTTTTAAAAAAACTCAACAAAAAAAACAATATTTATATAAAATTTAATACAACACGGCAAATTCGTTAGATTTATAATGGGCATGGCTCAACATTAAATTTTCATATAACATCCTATAAGTTCTTTTAAGTGTCCCTTCATTATCGACGGTTTCAATTTGAGGTAATAAGGGTGGACATAAATCATCATCACCAAGCTTTTTGATAATTTTATTGTATTCACCTTTAATGAGCCAAAAGTCAATTTCAAATGATTCGAACAAAAGGTTTTTGTAATCTCGAGTGAAAAGAAGAGAACAACATTCTTTGAAAGCTTAGTTTGAGTTTTTTTAAAAAAAATTATAGTTTAATCAACAAATTAATATATATTTTTTTAAAAATATTAAAACATGCATTAGTAAAAACTAAAAAATATGCTGGTAATCGAATGTGAAGGGATATGGTTATTTTAATTTTAATGACATAATTTGGGATATATTTTAGCGATATACTTTCTGTTTAATCAAAATTGTTAAAATAAACTCATCTTATTCAAGCGAAAAATTTGATGCCAGAGTTAGCAAATTAGAAATGTTGAACGATTTAATTATACCGCCCCCCCCCCTCACCAGTATAAGAATATTTAATTAGCCCTCGAGGTATTTTTAAGAGTAAATTAAACATCACTAAATTTAACGCAAAATTACGTATGATGTCATTACATATAAACGAGGAAAGGTGTGGTAAAAAGAGTAACATATGAGAAACCCTTGCCAAAAGGGGCAAGGATGAACCAGAAATATAGAGTGTGTTGACCTGTACAAATCATGATGATATAAATTGGAATGTAAAAATATGGACATAATTAGTTATTTCTATTAATTGTAAGCAAATTAAAAATCAATTATTATTATGAAAATCCATTTTTAAACAGTTTTTTTATTAAGCAGGGACCTGGGTAAGGGGCATTTTTACGTTCTTATTAGGACCAAAGAATTATAATTCCTTCCAGGTTTCAGAAAGCTAAAGAAAATAAATTTTATTTCTATTTTGTACATATACAATTTTTAATACAAATTTGTGTTACCAGTTATACATTTTAACTCTTATTATATAATTTTATAAACATGCAATTATTTTAAATTAGATTTTAAAAAAAATGTTTATATTGTCTTAAAAACCAAAAATGATGTCTGAATAATTAATTCTAACTCGAAAAGAAGAGATTCGTTAAATTTTGATGAGGATTTTAAATATTGATCAAATATTATTGATTTATATAAATAAATATATAATGTATAAAATAATAAACATTGCAATCCTCTTCTTTTCTTCATTATAATTTTTTTTTATTAAATATAGTTTATCACATTTACAATATATAGTAATTCTTGAATAATATATAAAAATATATCATAAATAAAGATATTTTTAAAATGTTCTTAGATAAATTAAGCACAAAAAATATAAGCTAGTATTATTAAAAAGTTTGATTAGGGCCTTTTTAAAAACGGCCCGATTACGATTTTAACGAAAATAATATTACGTTTTATTTGCCAAATCTTACATTATATTATTTTAGCCAATATCTTAATCGTGTCGTTTTTAAAAACTCTATTCATAAAAGCAACAAAAAATGTGGTAATAAAATATAATTTAATCTTACTCGAATATAAACTGATGTCTTCTAGCAAAAGGGCATAGCAATTACAGCACACTAAAAGGTTATCCCGAATATCGGTAGAATCTAAGAAATAAATTAAAATTTGTATAAAAAAAATCTAATAACTAATTTTATATTTGTGTAATAAAATAGTAAAATACCATTTGTCTCAATGAAGAAAGGTATTGGAGTTATAATCAGATTACAAAAAAGGGTTTTAACTTATTATAAATGTTGTAATATAATAGTAGAACGCAAATATAATAATTTAAAAGGTAATCCCATAAAATGACAAATAAAATTTAGTAACTTAAAATAATTACAACCAATCAAGATTATTATCAAAATTGAAATAGAGAATGCCGTAAACTCGATTAAAAATCTATAAAAGTCATTCTAAAAAAATGAAAGCACATCGTATATATCAGAGACCCAGAAAGGTACCATTTGCGACCTGTTCCATATTAAAAAAAGTTCGGCCCGACCCTGGCCCGGATTTTTTATAAATATATATTACATGTATTTTTAATTTTTACAGCGAATAATTGCGATTTAAGATATATTCCCCGGGTATTTTTAAAAAATTTTTTTAATTCCGGCCCGGATATATTAAAAAAATTTAAAATATGGCTCGGCCCAAAAAATTTATAGAAATATCTTTTTGCTTAATTATAAAATTTAAACCTTTGTTAGCATTATTTTGAAGAGAGTGTCTTAAAATTGATTCGAAAGATATAATTTTAAATACGCTTTTCCCGTGGTTAGATATGGATCCATTGTGATCAAAACTTCGAATTATCAGTTGTATGGGTTCGACTAGAGCCGAAATTAAAGTGGATTGCTTACTTTTGTCCTCTTGAGTTGGTATACTATCAGCTACCAAAAAAATATATATTTAATAAATAATTCAATTATATGAAAAAGATTAATTATGACGAATGCCAATTTAAAATGGCCCGTTTTTTAAATTAATCAAAAAGGCAAAATTTGACAGAGATCTAAAATATAGATTCAATATATTTTTAGGTTTGACAACACCGGAAATGGATGTTTCTTTATATCTAAAATATTAAAACCGTTTTTTTCTTGAAAAATTGTTCTTGTTGATAGTATTCTTTCAGGGGAGGGGTGGGTCATTATATATCAAAACGTGAATAAATCTATTGTATAATAATTATGATATACTATCAAATAACGTAGACAATCCTTTGAGCTTTAAGTAAATGGAGAAATGATGCAAAAACAGTATCGCGATAGCGTAAAAAACCTCTTGATTACCAGCGTACGTTTTAAATTCGACATTTTTTGCGTAAACTTTGCGGATCTTTTCGAATTGATCTTGAGAGATCCTTATTTTATTTTTAAATTTATGGACAAATTATTAGGACCTTCGAAAATTAAATGGTATCCCAAATTGAGTAAAATATAAACTTATACAAAATTATCCCAGCCAGGCAATAAATTATGGGCCGTAAGTCTTTTTCAAAAATTTCGAAGGCGCCAGTTCAGCTGGTTTGGCCTGTATCGACCTATAGTGCCACTACCACCAGAGTTTGAAATCTAATTATATTGCCAAGTCAATATGGGTTTTAATGAGAAGGCAAATTAAGGGGGTTTAATTAAATCAAAATTTAAAAATTACTGTATCGGTAAAAATCAGTAATGGCCGATAACCAGTTCTAAAGCAAAGTAAAGAATCGGCCTATAAATGGGCTCCTTTTAGAGTTTTAATCAAAAGGTTTCGTTATGGTTAAGAAAATTATAAAAGTTCTATTCGCTCCATGCTTGTTTAAGTGTGCTCTAAATTTTTAATATTTATATGGCTTCCAAATTAAGGGGTTGTTTTGTGTTGCAATTAAAAAAAATGTCTACAAAAAATAAGTATCTGTTTAAATTATGTTTAATTTTTAACATATTTGTAAAAAAGAAAAATCACTTAGTCATTAAAATATTAGATTCAACAATCAATATAATCCATTAATAAAAACTATATACTTTATTGTGGAATTTATTTCCGTATGGTTGCTTGCAATGTAAAAAAAAATTGTAAAAATGTCATAAATTCAATATTTAACGTCTTATTTCAACAATATAACCGTTTCATAAACTAATACTATTAAAATGAATGTATTTTAACATAATTATAATATATCACATTAGAAGAACTATTAGGATGGCAAAAAAGAAGAATATGTTGAAACTTGTATTGAAATTAGTGTTGTTAAATGGCTAGTTTTGAGCCGATTTTTTAAAACGGCTAACTCAATATTTTAGCAAGAAAAAATATTGTCTGAGCCTCGAGGTTTCGATAATGTATGTCTAGAACTTTGTTCGTTCTATGAGCAAAATCTTCAAGCTTGCGTAATATTTTTCTGGATGAAATATTGAGTTAGCCGTTTTTAAAATTCGGTTCAAAACGAGCCGTTCAACAACACTAATAATTGAAAGATATATGGATAGAATCATAGTTAAGTCAAAAAAAAATTTAGTCATATCATTTGACCCAAAATGTTAAAAAAAAACATTACCAAGATGAGGTTGGGTCTACATATTATAAAAGAAAATTATCTATTTATAATGAAACTGCATATTGTAGTCAAAACAAAGGTGGGTACTGTGCTATTTGTCATTAAGGAAAAAATAAGAAGAACGGTATATTACTTGCAGTGTGATAGCATTAGTAGATGTTATATTAAAAAATTTCCAACTATCCTACACCTAATTTTATGAGCTGATTCCTGTGTGGCCAAAATAAAAATCTATTATAATTTATCCTTTAAAACATTATTTAGCATAATAAAACAATTTAAATAATATGGTGCTACTAACCATTCAATTTTTAAGAGATCAATTCAGTGTATAGCCAAATTAAAAGATGTTTTTAAAAAAAATTAAATCCATAGCCCTCTTACTCTTTAATGATTAAAGAGTTGCAAATCATAAAAATCCATCTGAAGTGATTGAAATGACCCCAAAATATTATTTACATTTCCATTCTGTGTCAAAAGATTTCAAATTTATCCATACTCCATTCACTAAATTAAAGTCAATGCAAATAGCAAAAGCAGAACCATTTTTATTTGCGATAGATTATCATTTAAATCCAATAATATGATTAAAGTATTATTTTTACAGGATTTGAAAACACGTAAAAAAATGTAAATGGAGCATTTGAAAATTAAAAATCATAAAATGTTATGTTTGCTTCACTTGCATTTTGATTTTTTTATTTTTAAAAATTTGCGCAAGTGGAGCACTCAAATTCTAGACCGATGATATGTTAATATTAAATGTATTTAAAAAAAAGATTTGCCTAACTTTGATCGTAAATTTGGTCCATTTTTTTCTGATTGGTCTATTTAATCGCGGTAAATTAAAATCATTTAAAAACATTATGCTTAATACTGTAGCTGATAATTTAAGACTATTTGTTAAAAGAAGAAATGAATACCCTAACCCTAACCTATAAATTCATATGAATGAAAAAATCGTCCATTTTGACCTAAAATGGACCATTTTACGATCAAAATAATACGATCAAAGGAGGCCCTCCCAAAAAAAAATTGAGATATGAATGAACACAAATTTTAAAACAAACGATTATTTCTTGCCAATATGTTTATAATTAAATGATATAAAAAATTACTTATGCTCAAATACATCAGCCAAAGTCCAGTCCAGATGTGAGCCCACCATTTTAAATACTTCAGATAAGAGCAAGTATTTTGTTGCAAAATTATCCTTAATATTGCTATTTTTTTCAGGTTGATACAAAGAATTTTCTATAAAATAATCGATAGCATATTTTAACAAATTTATTAGCATCTCTTTGCGAAAGGATAATCTTTGCTTTAATATGATAGGTGTCACTTCACAAACTATTATTAATACAAATATATAATCAATATGGTAATTTTTTTATTAAAAAAATTGTACCTAATATATTTTTGACATTTTGATATAAAATATTATTTATATCATTATTTTGATTATTGCAATGCTCCATTAATCTTTCAAGCAATTCCATCTAAATATGTATCAGTATCATATAATTATATATATTTTAAAATTGGGAAATATATGAATTTGTAGCAATTAAACTTATTTATAATATACCCCATGAGATTCAATAGCTTCAGGAAATTTCTCAAATGTTGATAACATGATCTTGGCATATGAATGAATATCAGTTTGGACATCTAGGTTAAAAATCTATATGTTGTATTTGGAAAATATAAACCTGCTGCATATAACAAAATAGACTTTTTTAATTCTTTGGGTATATAATTATATATATCTATAAAACTTTTAGTATTCATCTCAAATCAAATTATACCGTCTTGTAAAGAATTATCATAGTTTTCTTGGTAGAGTGCCATTATTATTGCATTAATTTCCTGTTTTATACCAACATCCATGCTAATGTCGCAGGTAATTCTAAAACAAATAAACTAATTAATAAATTTTTTTTAAAAAAGTACAATTTTTGGAGCAAACGAACAGCTTCAACATATTCTTTTGAGATAAGCGATGTTTTATATGCATCTAGCTTTTATTAATTAATTAAATTATAATTCTATATAAGTTACAATAACTAATGGATTCTCAGGGAATACACATTGAGCCGCTAATAACCATGCATTAGACTCATATTTATCAAGTGGTCTTATCATTTTAGACATCTCAATCATCCATTCTGCGTCAGATGTATTTTGCATGTTTTTAAAAAAATGATTGAACTTATTGAATTTAATATTATTGATTTTCTGGCATTGACAGCAATGTTGTCATATAAATTATTGTTGATAATAAATATATGAATATAAATAGCAATGTAATGCACTGTGGTTAAGCGAAACCTTAATCTCTTAGAAATATTTAGAAGACCCAAGAAAATTTTCAATCACCCCTTTCCTAATTGATTAAATCTATATTATAAGGCTGCTTCCAAAGTAGTTTTTTCTGATTTTCTTATTCTTTGGAATGTATAAAGTAATTATATATATATATATATATACTACTAGATATAGTTGGGCAGTATGCGAATACATGTATCTAAGATACAAGATCCTTTTGTATCTTGTACTCAGTATCTTTTTGACATTTATAAAAAGACACTAGTATCTGTATCTAAGATCCTTTATTCTGAAAAGAATCTTTATCTTTTTGACATTTAATAAGACATTAGTATCTGTTTATAAGATCCTTTATTCAGAAAAGAATCTTTTTCATTTTCATTTTCTTGACAATACAGATTTTTTTTCTAATATATATGTTTAAAATTTGACATATCAGCTATTCTTATTTTCTTCGAGAATCTTGTATTAATTTCCTTATTTTTTCCCACCATATTTTAAATATAATGGATAATAACACCGAAACGAAATAAGTAAGGATTATATTTTATGTATAAATGTAATTCGATAGAATTACCAATTTTATGTAACATATTTTTAATTTGTAGGATGATTAACACAGTATTAAAATTTAAATTATGAAAATCCCGTGTATCAAATCCAAATCTTAAAATTTTATATCGGAATTTTTTAAAAATAAAAGATTAAAAAGACAATGTACAGGCTAGATGTAAAACCTGTACAAACAAAAAAATGGTAAATGGTTAAACACAAATTTTGTTAAACATATTAAAGTATATTATTTATGTGTAATTAGAAGGGGCATAGGTTAAACTGCCCAGGATGGTATAGGCAAAAGATTTAAAGAAAATATTTTTCTATGATTTGAATATAATGAGGCTTTGTTGACATCAATATTACATCCATATTTTAAGAACTTATAGATTGAGTCAGATGATAAGTATAATACTTTCAAAATATATTAATAAAAGAAGTCCTAAATGTAGTACCAGTGTATATAATCAAGCTCAAACTATAACATCGATAGACATAGGAGTAGGCAGGATTTTCCTAAGAGGGGGGGGGGAGTTTATATAAAATATAATAAATTACTTGTATATACATTAATATAAAGTATGGTAATAATTTATTCGAAACAATTATAAGAAATTTATTTATAAAAAGTAAGTAAACATATAGTTGATATTCCTCTATTATATAGAATTAGTTACAAAATACTAGGTAAAATTCCACTTTTACAGACATATTTGACAGTTAGAGAATATATTACAGTTAATATTTTAACAAATTTTACTAATCAATACTCTTGATAATAAATATTGCAACAATTTGGGTTCAATTATTTAACGCCATATATTTATTTTAAATAAAAAATAATATTAAAAATTAATCTTTATATTATTCATTCCACAATGTCTTTTAAGTATAGTTTTCTGTAAAACATATAATTCGCTATATTATTAAAAATTACTTGATTGTCATATGATAATTGATAAAATTAGATATACCGTAAATCTATGACATATAATATTCCACTCTTTGTATTGTGCTTTAATATTTTATTTTATTTAATTTATGATTATCAATAGTTTTATAATTATATTTTACTTTTATTAAGATAAATAAATTAAATTTACTCACTTTATAAAAAATTATATTTGATATATTATATTATTTAGTAATTTTATGGATCTATTATTAATAATTATAATACATTTCACCTTTTTCTTAAGACTTATCTTTGGCTTATATTCCATTTATTAAAAAAATCATTTTTGGTTCATTTTATATATTTATAAATTTATTTTTCCAAAAATGTATAAATTATGATGAATAGTTTTATAAGAAAATATCAACTTTTACATTCTTTCTTTCAAATTATTGTTTAAGATATATATAAACATTTTTAAGGGTCAGGGAGTGGGGGGAGGACTAAGGGGGATATTTTTTATTAGCTAAAATTGATATTTACAAAAAGGGATAAATTTCTGTGGGGGGGGGTGAATTTCCCCTTGCCCTCCCCCCCCCAAAAATGGCTACGCCTATGCCGATAGATTTATAATATCTAATAAAGAAATGATATTTTTTTTGGTGATACAAATGTTGCTGAGTTCATTAATACAAATAACATCAAACTAGAGGTTTTAAATTATATTAAAGATTCAAATACATTATAAATGCTTAATTATTTTCCTTTCAGGAAATTTTGTATAAATATAATACTGCAATACCTTCATCAGCTTCAATTGAAAGGTAATTTAGTTTTGGCACAATGTTAAATAGGCCAAAACGGATAATACATTATTTGAAAAATTTGATTATCTTATAAAATAATGAAATTATTTTAAATGCTCTTTTGCAAATTAATATTTCAACTCCTATTAAAAATATTAGTCTCCCTTCCCTATTAATGCTAAGAATGGGCTATTACTAATATTAAAATTCCTGATTATTATAATTAACTCATCATTAAATATATTATTAATTATTGTAAATATTTATTCTTATTATATGTGTATATTGTGTTCTTCACAAATAAATAATAAAAGCGATATTTTCTAAATTATTCTAATTTAATTGATAATGATAATTTAAAAGTATCTTATTTTTAAGATACTTTAACTAGCAAAAGATACAAGTATCTTTTATCTAGTATCTTTTTGATATTTTGAAAAAGATTCTAGTATCTGTTTCTAAGATTCATTTTGTCACAAAGAATCTGTATCTAGATTCTTTTTTGAAGGATCTGCCCAACTCTGCTACTAGATTGGCGATTCATTTATTACATTTAAAGTGTCCATGCATATGAATTAGCTGTAATGCCATTTTAGGGTTTACACATCTATTAAATGAAATTAATGTGCATTCATATTTTGAGAAATAAAGATAATTAGTTCATGTGTAAACCTATGGCGTTACAGCTGGCTCCTATGCATTGACAGTTTGAGGAATTAATCATCAATCTAGTAATATATACATCATTGGTCTGAAGTAATGTTGTTAAAAAGCCCTTCATATTTTTAAAAAGGACCGATTAAGAATTTAGCCAAAATAATTTTATGTAAGGCTCTAGGCAAATAGATGTCCAAATCTTTTTGCCATTTAACAAAATCTTGAGGTTTACATAATAATATTTTGCTCTGGCTTTTTAACAGCACTAGACCAAAGACAACAAATAAATATTTACTTAAAAATATTTTAGAAACCTCAAAGTGAATTCTTTGTGATGTAAGCTTTTACTTACAATCGTTTTAGTCCAAAATGAATTTTTTATGATGTAAACATTTATTTTAAAAATATTTAAAGTCTTAAATTTGCCAACTTTAAATAAACATTAAAACTTTTATCTCTCATAAACTGGGTACTTTTAAAATATACAATACAAAATTCATCCTGTCCATATCATGTTAAGTATAGAGATTCTTTTTCTTATTTATAATTTTTTTGACTTTGGATGCACCTTAACTCATACATTTATTGATTTTTGACAAATTTATACTCAATATTTTTTTATATCTTAAGCTATTACTAAAGCAATAACTTAAGAAATTCTAATTTATTTTGAAGATAAATAATTGGAAGTTATTGCAGTTTACCTCGTAATAATTATTTTTGTGATAGCTGATAGAATTGTGATACCTCCAAAGAGTCTGACATTTCTGCATAAACATATAAAAAAAACTATTTTATTAAATTCCCTTGAGTTTTTCCTATAAAACAAAGATCTAAATAAATATTTCAAGGGATAGCTTAAAAATTTGGTTTAGCCTTTTTAGAGTCGGCTCAAAATCTACTAAAATGAAGGCGAATACTACATCTATTTGCTAGTGGGATTTGTAAATTTTTAAAGAAAATTTAGTGTTTGAAATATTGATGGGTCAATAATATCTATCATTTTATAATATTTTAATGGACGAGAGCCCGCCCCTACCGTGGTGTATAAACAATATTAATTAACTTGATCTAAAAATTTTATAATTACATTCAATATAAAGAGATATTTTTGAAAAAATTGCATATAAATTAAATATGGGATAAATGAAACTCAGAAATAAAAAAAGATGATTTGATTTAAAATTTGTAATATATTTATTTATACATTGATATAGATGAAATGATATTATCATATTTTTTGTATAAAATTATTTTCCTTAACATAAACGAATAATATAGTTGAATGGGAAAATATTAATTTTAACTATTACAAAGAATGAGTTATGATTTAAAAATTCATTAGTTTATAATACTATATTTATCATATTATACTATATTAATAATTGTAATAAAAATAAAGCTTAAGAAACTTAAAATATTTTTACAAATTTTTCTAAATAAATGGAAGATTCCACCCCACATCCAGTTAGATTGGATATACTATAATAAGAAAAATATGTAAAATATTGCAGATTAAATGATAAGTTTTTTCATAACTGTGTCTGTTCTAGTAAAATCAAAAAATTTAAACACAAGATCGTATAACACATAAGTGTAGGCAAAATTTTTCCGGGGCGAGGTGGGGTTACTATTAGATTAGTTACCCTGATCATCCTAAATAAAATATTCGACCTTCTCTGATATTCATTTTAACAAAATCTTACAATGAGTCACCATTTGCAATCATCTTCAAATTAAATTCTAATTAAAAACTCTTTCAGATATCATGATTTAGGATAGAAAGATTATAATCAACTAATTAGCTTGTTTAAATTTAAACTATAAAATGAAATGAATGATTTAAATTTTAATTAACCATTAAAATCGAAATAAATATATATAAATAAATTAGAATCCTTTTACCAATTATTTTGTCTTTAATCTATAAATAGTGTTTAATATTACTTTATCCTACCCCTTAGCCTATCCCCTTTAAATTCTACCCCCCCCCCCTTCCTCATTGAAAATTGAATTCAAAGGGCTCCTATTTCCCTCTCTCATGTAGATGCTGGATCCGGTTATTGTAGGCCTTCAGATATGTTATATTTTTATAAAAATAATTTTGGTTTGTCTTTTTTTTATAAAAATGTTTTCTTGAATATTTGTTTTAATTATAATGATTTCATTAAAATAATTAAGGACTTTTTCTTATTTTTCTTAAAAATTATTACTTTGTAATGATATATTGTACAAATCGTTTTGTAAAATTGGGATGGGAGGTTTGTAGGTTGGATTTTTATTTGCTTAAAATTATATTTACAAAAACACGCAATGCATTTGCCCCTTTCTAGTAAACTCATTATATTTTTTTATACCCCTTATATAGTATACTCAAAATAGTTTAAAGTAATTTTTCCATGGTAATAAAAATGATATGCCAGCATTTAATATATATAAATAATTTATTGCGACGATGATTATATTATAAACTTGACAATGTTGTTAAATAATATATTAATATGCAGAGAAATATGGATCGATATAATATAATTACAAATTTTTATAAATATAGTACAAGTTATCAATAAATTAGCGGTCCCCTGATTTATCTATCATCTTATAACTTTTTATATAAAAACAACTAGACCAGATTGATAAGTGCAATAATTAAAATCAAATTATTATTGATAAATATAAATCGATTTTATATTTATATGGTTTCATATAAAATATTTTGTATCCATACAATAATGAAAAAAACATTCACATCTCAATTTTAACAACTTATTATTGCTCCAATATGCTATTTCCATTCGGCTTAAATGTCATAGGATTATCTTCAAAAAATATTTATTATTATATTGTTCGCATTGAAGGTCAATGATTGATAATAAATTTTTAAAATTTGCACCAATTAAACTTGATTCAGATAATAATACATTTTGATATTTTAATATTTCATAGTATAAATAATGTAGAAAAAAAATATATTTATTAGTAGCGTTGTGTTTGGGTTGACCAAAGTATGAGTTTTATTTTTTTTTAAGATACTATATAATATTGATTTTGCTACAACGCAGATTTAATCGGCATCAAAGTAGTTTGTGTCATTTCGATTACCTAACAATAATATTTAAGGAATAGGCTATATATATATTATAAGTTTTAAATCAAGATCTAATAAAAGCTATTCTATTTTTTTTAAAAATTTAGATTCTAATCTGATAATTTGTTTTAAAAAAATCACAATATTAGTGAATATGAAAACACTTTAAAATAATGAAGATATGAAGAAAAAATAAAACCATTCATTGTATATTCAAAAATGTTTTTGATGTAATACATTCATAAATAATATACTTCATTTCATATTTTATTAAACCTTTTAGACTATTCATGCACACAGATCCCAGAGTTTAAAAATATTATTAATTAAAAAATCCTTTAGATAAAATAGTGGATTTTTTAGATAATTAATTTTTACGCAAAATCTAGTTAACTGTGAGTGCGTTTTGTAATATCAAGGATTTACAATCAATTTCAATCAACCAGAAATTTTTAAAATGCTAAATTTTAGGCATTTTGGGTTTGAAACCGTTTTAATTTTAAATAATAAAAAAAAATATTATTTGTTTTAAAAAATATTTTTGACAAAATTTTAATTATATTAATTAACCTTTAATAAAATCGTTATTAATGGATCTTTCAAATAATTCTCATATTAGATTACTTTAAAGTGTTAATAATTAAAATTATATTATATAATGCATGTTAATACTTTTGTAGATAGGGGTCAGACGATTGATGTTATAGTTAGTTAGATCAGATAGATGTGGGTCTTTATGTAAGGATTCATTACCATCCTGAAGGTCTGATAAAAGGTTTCTAGACACATCTCTTTTGAAATTGATTATTGTTTAAACTTATTATTATGCGAAATTAACTTTTTTTGAAAAATTAAATTATAAAATTCGTTCTAGATATTTATAAAATTCCCAAGATTCTGACTATTCCAATGGAGGGTCGCTTAACTAAGATAAAAGAGATTTTAATCGATCATTATGGAAACCATTATAATACATTTGTAATATAATATAAAAATAAAATATTGGATTTTATGATTTAAAAATAAAATTAAAATTAAACAAAAAAAAATTATACCGTGATAAATTGGTATTCAAGGGCAGACCATGGGGATCAAGATGAACGTGTTCTTCAAAAAGAAGATCTTGCGAAATATCAGGGAAGGGTTGAGATTTAGCGAAGTACTTATTCATCACATAAAATATTATAAGCAGTAAAATCGATATACCCCCATATGCACGAAATATGATTTTCGATCCTTAGTTTTAGTTTAGATTCAAAATTTAAATAAATATAACCTTTATAGTTTTATATATGTATATATAAAAAAAGAAGAAACTTATATCTAATGGAAATAAATATCAGAGTAGATTTTTCATTAAAATTGTAATCATTATAAATTTTAACATATAGTCATTTAATTATTTTTGGTAGTGCTCTATTCGAATTTAAAAACAAGTTGAGTTATAGATTTATAAATGGATAGATATTATGATTATCTAGGACATGTAAACCATATTTTGAATATAAATATTAAGTTTTGACAGAGCTGTATTTTTTATAACATTTTATTTTACTTTATTTATAAAAAATACATGACCAATCTTTAATATGTTCCAATTATATTAATTAAAAAATTCCATATTAATAATCAATTCATTTTAAGGTCATTATACCAAATTTTGTTTCAAATTTAATTAATGTAAGAATAATGATTTGAAACTTAAAAGTTGATTATTTCAATTCGAACCATCTGGAGAATATCAACAAACGACAATGTATTTAAATTATTAACTAGAATAGTATATGATTTAATGCATAACACCTTAAATCCTTTCGAATTATCAAAAATGTATCAGAATAATTTGTTTGTTAAAAAATGGTATAAATAATTATTATAAATGAAACAAATTTATTCAATAAATATGGGTTGAACTTTATATCACATTTACCGTATGATTGTATTAGTACTCCACCTAATGCCGCACCACACCCACGGCCCAATCCATGATGTAAAGCCTGTAGCAAGCTTTGAGCCGAGGATTTTAGTTCTATAGGAACAGTATGTGATACGAAAGACGAACACGCGATCCATACAGCAGCATGGGTCAAGCCTAACGTGGAATAAAAATTTTTTAATCTTACATATTTTATTTACGCCTATTAAGATGCACTAATTTGTATAATTACGATCTGAAAATCTATCTAACCCTATGCTTTAAAAAATTAATTCGGTAATAAATATTTTATCATTATTAGGCAAGAATATAAAAAATTATAAAGTAGTCTACTTTTGAGTTGTAAAGGTAGTATAACTCAAAACCCCCAAAATGATCTAGTTTTTTTTGTATTATATTTCACCTTAAACTGTATATTTAGGCCAAGTTTCATGTATTTCTTTTGAATAGTTTGTAAGATATACACGTTTCAATTTTGACTGAGGTGCTCTATAACAATCCCACTGATTTTGAAATTTAAATAAATTTAATTTTAATTGCGCATTTTTATTGTGAAAATATATGCTCTATAAAAGTTAGTTTCAATTTTTAAGTTATGTTTGGCTATATGGGAAAAACTCTTAAAAAATTTTTATTTTTCATTAAATCTTCAAAATATTATTAAATTACTTAATGAGTATTATATTAAATCTCTATATAAATTAATATAATATGTTTAAAATGATGGTTAAATTAACTAAGCCTTAAAGGAATCAAAATGAAATCAAAAAAAATTATAATATCCCATAAAATTTTCTTAATAATATAATCAATCTTAAAATGGCCTGCACGATATAGAGATATAGTATTAAAATGCATAATTCATTTATTAAACCTTGAATGAATTCAAATGGTAAGACCCACCATGGATTTCTCAGCCAGGATATATACAAAAATCTTATGCTATTTCCAATTAGCCCGAAATAGAGTATCTAAAGTTTAAATATTTTTTGATAGGGACAAAGATTATAGAGATTATTGAATGGTTACTTTATTACCTTTATGTGCCCTAACTGATTCATCATTCTTGCACTAAACAAATAGGTTAGTAGCTCGGACATATGGTTTATTACGGAAGCCATGCCAAAAATGGTGGGTGAACCACCTATATCCTGCAGATGCCAGAATAAAAACGTGAACACGAAACCCATGCCTAATCCCATGTAAAAGGCTATAAACAAAAATGTGATGTGATAGGGAGTTTTGAAAGCCTTGAGTGCCTTGATCCAGGAGGGTGCGTCTGCTTTAAGTTCGTTTTGCCGAAATAGGCGTTCTTTGTCTAGTTTTGTTTTATCCTTTTTTCCCTTAAACTCTTTAATATTAAGGGTAGGTGGTCTAGGCGGAAGAGGTAATGGTGGTGGAGCTTTCTTTTCAATCATTTGAAAATTAAAATTTTTATTTTCTACTGAACCTTTTATGATAGGATCGTTATTGTAGGACTCAGAAAAATCATCATCGAATCTATCCGACCCTGAGAATTTAGTGGTACCTGGCACATAGGCTTTCAAAGCCTTAAAAAAATATATTAGTTTATTCGTTTATAATTTTATAGTTTTTTTAAAAAATTCAAATAAGGTGGTTTATTATCAAATCTTATCTAAGTGACCAAAAAGTAATTTTATAAAGATAATTTTATAAATCATTGGCATTATATATATTTGTATATTGAATTTAAATTGTAATGATATCGGTACCTCGATCTGTTTGCGTCCCCCAGATTTGTAAAATTCAGAAGATCCTCTAGATTCCTCCTCCAGTTCTCTCATCTGAATAAAATCATCCTCAGTTTGATATTTGAAATAGAATTGACTAGCTGCGATGAACGCTAGACTCATCAATACACTAAATACGGCAAAACATATGGTATAGTTTTTTTCACCCGGATCGTGGTCTCCACAAGGATGTGTAGGGAATGAAGTAGATTGATCCAATGCTACGCCTATGAAAAACATGGCCAACCCCCATCCCAAAGATCCGAACATCCTTTGTTTGCCATAATTGTTGCTACTTGTGCCTTTTATGTTTTTTACACGTATTTTAATACAATAAATTTGAAAAAAATATCTAAAAAAAGTTAAAATTAATTTATGAATTTGAGCCAATTTATATTCGGCAATAATTTAAATTCGACAATGCAAATCTATTTGTCAATAAAATAAAATTACTCGACAAACTATTAAAATAAAATATATAATTTATAAATTTCAACTGTGTATGGTGCAAAATTGAAGTTTACTATAATTTAATCCCCTTGAGAATAAAACGCTAGATCCTAATTTAAATTCTAAAAGGTTTTTGATACCAGTGTATTCTTTATCCAAAAAACTTATAAAAATGTATAAAATATTTAGCAATCAAAAAAGTACTCGGGTTAGGAAATTGTCTTAAGCAAGGTCGGGATGGGGGAGGGGGTCTTATGGAAAAGCAGAACTTGAAAATCTGTGATTTTCATTTTTTTTGTATCTGAAGACACTTATGATACAAATTATCAATTATGTTTATTTAAATAATTGTATCAAGGCAGGGGCGTCGTTAGCTAGATGCTAAAGCACCATCTTTTCCACAATTAGAACCATTTTTTAAAGATAGATTAACACCTTATTTTTTTTTAAAATTAGAGACCAATTTTTAAATAATTAACGCCCGTATAAACAAATAGATTGTATTTTATTTAATTAGCTTTCTTACTAAATTGTAGGGCCTAATTTTATTATTTTCTCATAGCATTAAATTATTCATTATAATTTGCTTCCATTCGCTTTATTTAAAAAAAAAATGGTATATTTTATATGAAAAAAATGGTATATTTATTTATGATTAGTTTAATTGTATAAATTATATATTGTCAAATAATCCTACATCAAAATAGAACAAAACTAAACATAGAATATGTTCAGGTTGTTTAAATTCAATATACATCTATTTTTATGCTGATTATTGAGTATACAAAAATTTGTGCCTATTTTCCAATTAATTTTAAATTCGAATCAGTCCTACTTTTATTCTGAAAAATGCAAAATCAAACGACGAAATTGGTAAAGATATTTTTCTAAATTTATGATAAAAAAGTATAAAAGATAAGAGCTTTCGATTGGGGTCATTTAAGATTTTTTTTTATTGATTATGAAGGTAAAGCAATTGAATTATATCCCACATTTGTGTTAGATATTTTTTTGATTAGCAAATACATGTATATAATAATTAATTATAGTAGAAGATATAAACCTTTAGAAAAACCTGATTGAATGTCCGTTAAAGGGGGGTATAGGGACGAAGTTCCTCATAAACTAAATATACCCCCCCCCCCATATAAAAGATTGTGTAATACAAGGGAGAAAACATGGGGTTCTGCTTAAAATATTTAAAACTTATAAATATGTTAAAGCATTTTTTTACTGATATAATTACATATTAGAATCAGGAGCATTACTAGGCTTTGCAATCCCAGGGGGCTCAAAAAAATCAATAATTTACAAAATTACTTTTTTTTTAGCTAACCTACTTATTTTTTTAGTGATATAAAAAAAATGAAAATTTTGGGCTCTTCAAATTTTTCAGAGGGCTCGAGCCCTTGCACTCCCCCCCCCCCCCCTCAATGATGCTACTGATTAGAATTATCTGTTATTAGTTATTATAGATTTATTAATGATATAAATATGCTACAGCATTTTTTAATGATATTAATTATATATTAGAATTACTTGTTTAATAATTTAATTAGTCATCAGATTTAAATATATAAATTTCTATATTTTATGTTAAAAATTATTTATTTTAGATAAAAATATTTCCACGTGATTTAGCGAAAAAATATTAGTTAGAGTTTCCTAAATTAAAGAAGAATTATGAGTGACTATGCATTATATACAAGAAGGAATTTTCAAGAAAAAAGAATGGGAATGCATTAATTGTGAAGAATGAATTCGTGCTCAATATACTAATAATAATGATTTATTTATTCGTTATTTATGTAAATAAATATATTATATTTTTTCATTATTTATATATTAAAGAAATTTCTATCATTCTTATTGTATATTCATAATAATTGTCTAAGTTTATTAAATATCATTAATATTTAAGTTGATGAATGATTAAATTATTGAAATAAGCATTATAACATGTAGATTAAGATTACAATTTATAAAATCATTAAATAGATAAGTGGTTAATTTTATATTGAAATTTAACATATTAAGAAAATAATTTATAAAATATTATCATTAAATATATGAGACTGATGATAAATTTAGGTGTTAATATTTATTAAATTAGTTATTTTATATTGTAATGATAGAGCTTTAATTTAAATTTTATTTTAAAGATTAAGAATTGGGCTACACATTGATATTAAATTTGTTTGGTTAAACACAATTCCTAATACCTTTTTTTGAAAAAGCGAAATCATGGCCAGTCATGTTGATATGTCGTATTGGGATATAGAATCTATGGGTATTCGGAATCTCTCAAATTTATATCATTTATTGAGGGCAATTTTAAAAATCTGATTTCACCGGAAATGTAGATCTAAAATATACCATATAAAATTCATATAATTTCGCCATAAATTTTTGTTATTTTCAATTTATATGAAAAATCTATATAAAACGCGATACAAATTTAATGTATTCCACCAGTTTTGGACAATAGTTTGAAATTCACAGTGTGGGAATTTCAGGTCTAATAATTTTAGATTTAAAAATCTCTCACAGTAAATGATTAAAACTTGAGATAATTCTTAATCCAAGTGAATTTCATATCCCAATACGACATATCAATTTGTGGAATAAATTGAGTTTTTCTTTGATGTCCGGGCATTACTTAATCAAACTATATTAAAATATTCTTCACGTTCAAAACAATAGAAGGCGACAATATAAAAAACATAAAAACCAAAAGATTTCAAACATTTTCTTTGTCAGAAAAATTGGCATTTAAATAATGGCGTTCACGAATGTTGATCGGCCTTCATTTTGATTTCTATACTATTTCTTCACAAAATTTAAAATCTTTAACCATTATAAATTTCACCTAAGATATATAGCAGAGATCTGCACAGATACCATTTGCACGGCCCTGCCCGGATTCTTTTAAAAATTGATATATTTTAAAATTTTTGTAAGAAACAAGTCGCCAATATTTTTTTACAATTAAAAAAAATATTAAATTATACTATATTTATATATATTCGGGCTGGGCAAACAAATATATTTTTTTTATTTCAGTGTCGGACTTTTCGTGACATAATAGTTCAAGATCGGGCTAGACCGGACAAATTTTTTAAAAAAATTGGACCAGGCCGGGCTTGAAAAATTAGGCCGGAAGCAGATCACTAATCCCCATATATTCAAAATATTTCCTGAAAATTTTGAAATGCATTCAAAATTTTTCCAAAAAAGTTTTCACTTTTGTTGGAATTGAAATCAACACGCTTTTGTTACAAATTAATGCTTAATATATAAACTTGAGTAATTTTATCAAAATATAATTTTCATGATTATGATTCATTTATATTGCTATTTATATAAAAAATTCAGAGTTTGAAAAAAATCTTCAACATTTTTTTAGCAAAGTATTAAAATATTTATATATTATAATATTTCGAATTCATATAAAATGTTTAAAAAATAAATTCAAAAAAAAATCAAATAAATAGAATATACAAAATATGTAAAATATTTAAAACGAAACAAATATAAAATTATATAAAGAACAAATATAGTAAAAAGTGAGAAAAAAGTAAGAAGTAGAAAAAGAGTCTAGGAAAGTCTCTTTTAATAGCAGACTATCACTGAAAAGAATGTAGTTCTTTTTAAGGATGGCAATGGCCAGCCTTTGGGTTCTTCTGTGAACTGATTTGATCAAAATTTACCTAAAAATGCCTAAATCTTCCTTTAAAATATCTTTTAAAAGTAAATCTGAAGCTTATAAAATTCGCTTTAAGGATAGCCATTGCAGCCTCTGTCTAAGGAAGAATTTCTTAGGGATCGTCAGTAAGCTTAGCTTACCAATGAAAGTTAAGGTTGTGGATATGTGGATAAAGATATGATCTTCTGAAATTTTCAAATATTTCGAAATTATAAGCTGTTCTATTTATTCGAGTTAGTTTGGATTTAGTTGGATAAAGCTAATGGATCTATATAAGAAGAGTCTTAAACAAGAAACCCCGTTTCCATGGGATAAGGGTGATTTCATCAGGCCGCTTTCCATCGGATCTAAAAAATCCTGGTTCAAGTATTGCAGGTATTTGGGCCGATTTTAAAATTCGTTGGATCAAAAAATTGCACTGGTTATGTCTGATTCGGCCTTTACACTATCTGCAATGTAAACTGTGCCTTCCTATCTAATTTTAATGAATAAAATACCTTTCAAGATGAAATCAATAATCTTTAAAGATTTTTTTATTATAATCAAAATGATTAAATTAATGTGCCACAAATTTAAGTTTTGTTAAATAATTTAAAATTTTGGGCTTGATTATAAATAAGACCATTTAATTCAATATCTATAATAATAATATGAACAAATTATTCAATCATTCTTTATCTTTACCTTTTTTAATTACAAAATTCTTTCAATAAAAAAAATTATAAATTTAAATTATGCAAAATATATATTTAAGACATTATTTTAATTAACAAATTATTTCCTGCTATTTTTTTTTATGGTTATATTTTAATAATGCATAAAATCATTGAAATTTATTATCTAAAAAGATTGAACATTTTATTTATAGAGGCAGAGTATAAAATGGTTTTTTTTTTAAAATTTGAATTAGTTAATATCAATAATTTAAATGGTTATAATTAATGTCGAATTTAATTCCCTTTAAGATATTATTAATGATGTAGCTTGGAGAGAAAAAAAGCGTCTTTAACAAGCATAAATTTAATTTGAATTTAAGCATGCTTGATTTCGTATGTGTCAATGGATATCCCCACAAGAATCTTACCCTCTTATAAGCCAAGCTTTGGCAAAAAAAACCAGATAAGATCTTAGGAATGAAAAAGGGAATATTGATATTCATTACGTTTCCAATCTCAAAAAGACACGCATATGCATCCATACATCTCAGTTTTATAAACAGAATCAAGTCTAGACTTGAATAAAAAAATATTTTTTAATTAAGTATAAATTATTATTACATTATACACTTGCTAATTTCCTTCGTAAAATCATATGTGAAAAAGATGATAATTCATAAAATATTTCATGAAATTCGCATAAATCAAAGAAAAATTCCGCCTTTTGATTCAATTTCAGTAATGTAATTCAATTTAAATAAATTTTATAATGAAATATTTTAATCAGAGTGGTTAAAATATGGCATTATATCGAAAGGCATTGCGAAAAAAAATCCGATAATTATTTATCTTAAATTATAGTTTAATATTTTTTTCATCAAGTTTTAATTAAATTTCAAATACTACACTATTCTTTAAAAAAGGGTAACTTTTTCTAGCGCACAGGTAGGACGCCAAAAATAAAAATTTTGTTACCTATAGGAGGAGGATGACTTCTGGTAAAGACTGAAAATGAGTTATTGCTAAATTCATGTAAAAAACATATTGATGTTATTTTGTAAATATTATATTATGTTTTATGTATAATATATGTTTTTTTTTAATAATTATAATTATTATCGGCTACTAAAAAAATGAAATGGTATTAGCAATGTAACAATAATGTATAGGTATCTAATAAGGCAAAAAAATTCATTTATATAGGTATTTGATGGACCCTTTTAGAATTTGTATCGATATTTATGCACTATGAAAGTATCGTTAGCTTTCCTACTTATGAAACTGGTTATCTTATTATAAACCACAAGCATCATATTTAAATTTTTTTAGCCTATCTGGAAAATAATGTTTAATTAATTATATAAAATTATTATATAACTTCTAAATTTCCTAATGTTAGAGCCCTCAACAAATTTATCTATAAGAAAAAATAAAAAATCATTATTCGCTCATCCATAAAGAAGTGATAAGAATATCTTTAAAACCATTTCCAAACAAGATTTCCTAGATACTTTTCTGGCAATTTTTAAAATTTTTTTTTATCAAATTGCCATCTGATATGAGTGAAGTGTACAAGGTTTTTTTTAAAAAAAAATATTATATAAGAGTAAAAAATTAAGACAAATTTTTATCCCATATTGTTTGGAAGTTAGACTTTATGGCAGCATATAGAAAATCCTCAGAAAAAATAACTTTTTTTTATCGTAAAGGCCATATTCTTATAATTAAAATTGTCATAAAATCTTACTCATTAAAAAAAAACAATTCGAATAACATCTTACCTATTGTAAATGGATGATGGAACTTCAAACTACTTAAGTAAGTTAAATTAGTGTCATCTTCCTCTTTGGACAGTTAAGTTATCGATTTTACAGAATTTTTTTTTACTTTAAGTTTAAAAGGATACTAATTAAATTTTTTTAAAAAAAATAGTAAGCTATATAACGAAATAACTTTTAATAGATTTATCATTCATATAAAGTAGAAGATGTGGCTGACCATCTTTAACTTAATTATAACAATGAATATCATTTTTTGCTATATAGGGTAAAAAAAGAATCTGGAATATAATATGCTATGGGATAAAGAAAGAATTTTTTTTTAAAAACTATTTGCTTGCTGAAATTAAATTATAAAATGCCTGCGCACGGTATTGTCTCTTATCAACAAATTATTCTATAATAGATAAATCTCGAATCAGAAATAAATAGGTCAAAGAAATAATACAGATATTTATTTCCGTTTAAAAAAGATTAATAAATTGAAAAATAAACAATGTCGAGTATTTTTGTGACAAATAAGTATTTTCCTTTATAACCAAGGACGCGTTAAGGAAAAATTAAGAAACTTTTTATTCTTCTAAAATAAATTCTTATAAATGTTGAAAAAAAAATCGAAAATCAATCATAAATATTAAAACAGGACATGAAATGATTTTAAAAATCGATTTTATTTTTTTTAAATGTTTCTTTTGCCATCCACTAATAAACCCCTATAATTTGAGAAATCGCGGAACATTTAAACATTTTATCTTTCTTTCTTTCTTTCTTTCTTTCTTTCTTTCTTTTGTAATAACATATCAATTAAATTTACCGAGATAACCCAAAGTGGCGCTATCGGCTATGGGCAAAGAAGGGGCCGCGAAAAACTCTCCGACTACCATCAGCATTAAATTTATCAAAAACGTTCTTTGCACTTCCTTTTCGTCATATAAAACGTTGCTAAAGGTTGGTTTAACCAAGGTTTTAATATTTTCAGGGTAATTTTCTAGCCAATCTCGAGATATGATTATTGGACTCTTACCTAAGATGTAACCTTTCGGCAATTTGTGCCCTTTTCTCTTAATATCAAAAAAGTCCTTTAAGGATATATCACGTTTGACTCGGAAAAGAATTAATCTGTTATCTCCTAATGTTTTGGATGATGGCTGCATACTTTCAGATTTAATGGGGATATCTCCCATAAAAAATTTTGGATTTCCGCTAAAAAACGTTAAATTAGTATTAACAAAATAGACTGAACGTCTTTTTAACTTAGCGCTAGTACCACCAGGAACTGGCTTTAACGATTCTGAGCCTTGATTGAGTTTAACAGCTTTTTGGTCTTCTGCGAATGTATGTTGTAAAGGTGGTTCAAAAAATCGGTGCGTTTCATTAAATATTACGCATCCCGCGGGCTTGGGAGTCACGAATGCCACGGATAGAGTAAAAATGATCCAGCACACTAACGAAAATAGGAGTATGTGTTTTGCCCTTTGATATTTTTCGGCTAAACTACTCCACAAGGGTGCGCTGCAGAGTTCGACAAAGGGCCGGAATCCCATAACTAACCCAGTTTGTTTAGGATTGAAGCCGAGTTGTTTCAGGTAGACTCCTAGCATTGGATAGAGCGATCCGAAAGCCGAAAAAAAGAAGAAATAAAAAGCCTTGCATATGAGCAAGTCGGAATTAACGTTTGTGAACCAGGAATCGAAACAGTCCTTCATCACTTCAACCCTTGACTTCCTATGGGCCCCAGAATAATAAGACTGCTTTTGTGCAACTGTCGTGTTCATTGGCGGACTTGAAAAGGATCTCCGATCAACCTTTGATTCTTCTTGTACTATAGTTGTAGTCGGATTTGAATATGGATTACCACTACCACTATTTTGTAAATTTATTTTATGTATAGCAGCTTATTGATTTAGAATTGTATACTAAACTTTTTTCAAAAATGTCACTATGGAATCCTTACTCTCACGAATAGAATTTATTTTAATGGTATACAACAGATACCTACAGATCAAAAATTCAAAATAATGAATTTAAAAAATTCCGGGCCGGGCCGTAAAGTAATAAATATGAATCTGGATAAGAACTTGTCCCCATTTTAGATTTGGTATTATTTGTTCAACAGAGTTATATACTAATAATCTATAAGGGACTAAAATCTAAAAACATCTCCCTATTCAGGATTTTTAATAATTTTGGCAAAGTATTTGATTCAATAAACATATCAAAAAGAATCAAATGCTATCTCAACCTTAACTTTACATAAATCTTGAATATGCTTGTGACATCATTCCCATATAGCAACTTTAGAGAATACTGTTAATTTCAAATTGACACAATCGATGTAGCCAAAAAAGTTGGCTTTGTGATTAATTTCGAAAATAAAGATTATCGCTACTAACAATTCTCCTCGATAGATATTTATTATCGGCAGTTCGATGGAATATATGTTATTCAAACATTTATGTTTTTATATTTAGGCAGGCTATGATATTAAAGCTAAAGGAATTATGACCTGGAATTTTTATTATTATTTGAAATCAAACTCCTTCAAACTTAAAATTCACATTTTCACAACTATATGTATACCGATTACAAATGATATATTAAGGTTATAAATAATGTAAAGATTTTGGATATATTACAAACTATTTGCCTAAAAATATTAATAACTTCAAAACATTGATAATCCAAAGAAAATTTAAACATAATCACAGGCACGAAGCCTTTACACAATTATTTCCAACAACAGCTGTATTCAGGGCACCAATTTGAACTAATGCTTTCCAACGCGACTTCTTTCACTACATTTCTATGATTATAGATGCAAAGGATGCCCTAAAACCTTTTATTCAATTATATATTCAAATTATTTAATAATATGTGGTTTCTATACCCTCTAATTGTAAGATAAATAACCTGCTATCCCCTCCGACTCTGTTATTATCCTCTTTCTCCTTACCAAACCAAAAAATAAAATTCAAATCAAAATTAATTATAGCGAAAAAAAGAAATCTACCCCCCCCTCCCCCCTCATAATCTATTTAATTTTATTCAAAAGAGGTCTTCGTAACTATTTATCCCTTTCAATTTTGATTATGATTTTACGTCACACCCTCCTTCCCGTAGTAAAAGTTTCTGCATCGATCAATTATTCAATTATCTAAAATCTTACAAAATAGAAATAAATGGAGGAAGTAAAATAAGGCTAAATGGACTAAATTCTAATACAGCAGCTTTCATTAATAAATCATTCACAAGTATTTGTCCGTCAAACCAATCCTACCTTCAGAAATTGATATTATTTAACATGAAAAAATAACAATATTTAATATCCATAATTGGGCCTATTTTTCTACAAATCAGAACTTAATGCGAATCAAAAAAAAAATTAAGCTAAAATTGAGAAAAAAATATTTTAGTTAGATAATATAAATTGAATGCTTAAATTTTAATTTTCAAACAGCTCGGCCCTGAATTTTGGTTAAACAGCATAGATTTATTAGTATACTCTTCGCACCAGAAATTTAAATGTTAACAGGGGGAAAGTTAACTGAGATCATGGTAAAATTTAAGTTTTAGGAATCCAAAATAAAATAAATATAAAAGTATAATGTTATTACATTTTAGAATAAGCACACTATGTTTTTGAAAAAAATGTCGGTATGCTATAAAATGGGCACCATGTGACTTAAAAAGTTATAAATGGGAATGTTACATGCGCGTTAAAACAAAGAATTTAGAAAAAAAATGATATATATTTTTATTCAAAACTTGAATCGATGTTCTCTATCATCTTCACTTTCTTCTTCCTCCTCTTCACTTTCTTCTTCTTCTTCATCTTCATCTTCTTCCTCTTCTTCATCTTGATTATAAATAATTTGATCAGGCTTAGGAACGTAATAATTTTCTTGTGGATTGGATGATCTGTCGGTATCTTTATTATTGCTCATATTCATAGCGGTAGTTCTATTTTGGCCGTATGGGTTTATGTCTCTCATTCCGAGCCCATAGTCTGCGCCATTGTTTTTAGTTGATCGCGACATTTAGAGAAAAAAAGTTTGATAATTAGGAAGAATTTGATCTATAGTGTAAATAATAAATGATTAAAATATAACTTTTTTAAAAATAAAGTAAAATGAAATTAATAATAACTTTGTCCTTATCACAGATAAATTCTAACTATCATTTTAACTTTGATAAAAGAATTGAAAACATCATTTTTTATGGTATTAAATAGATTTTTATTTTAAATTCATTTTTCAGCCCAGAGTCTGGTTTAAATGATGGCATTTTCCTATCTCAAATCCAACTTCTTATTTTTTTTCAAAATAATTTTGTCATTTAAATGTCTTTAAAAGTTAAAACAACTATTAAAATATTTTAATAGTTTACTATAATATACAATAAGATTTAATTTTTTTGTAAAAAAAAATGTTTTATCTAAATTCTATTAAATATTCAAAATAAATATTCGGGAAAGCTTAACATTATAAAGGAGATACCAATTTTTGAAAAAAAAATTATAAATATATTATTATAATAGAATATAAATTATATATACCGGGGTATAATATAATTTTATAATTTATTCATTATTAGAATTTATGAGCTAGAAAACTAATTTGTCATATCATTTATACTTTCAGTTATTTTTTTTAAATTCTAAATCTACAGCGGAAATATTGGAAGACATTATCTTATTCGTACTATAATTCTTGTCTAGTTTCAAATCTTCTAAAACAGGTAGCACATGCTATTTCGTCATTGAAATTTCGAGAAAAGGGGCCATTAAAGAGGGCAGAGTTTGAGAGCTAAGCGTTAATTTTGTTCTAAATTGATGAATTAATATAATTTTGCTTTTAGGCTTAATGAATCAGTTATTCAAAGCATTACAATAGTGTTGTTAATTAACTGGTAGAAATTAGAGGATAATTGTAACAACCTGCAGTCAACTTGTCGGGCCGTTTGACAAGACCAGGTTAATACAAATATTAAATTACAGCAATCATGTAATGCCTTGAAATTTAGGTAATTAAATTCTCGTAAAATTGTCCGTGTGTAGAGTGGATAGCAATGAATGATCAAAAGTTGATTTTTTTTTATAAAATTAAACTTGATTTTACATTATATTTTATAAAAAAAAATTTCAAGGAATATGGGATATAACTTATCTATCGAAAAAAATTGGCATTTGATCAATTTATATAAATAAAAAAAATTCTGGTTTGAATATTTAATCAGAGAGAGAACTATTATTTTGGATATTTTATTATAAAATATTAAAAAATTCATCTATTATATGCTGTTTTTTCCCCTCTGCTGATAATCAAATTGAATGTTATAATTAATAATAAAAAATCGCATAAATTATTTAAAACATCCTTCAAAAATAAAAAATTATCATTTAGAATTTGCCAATTGACAATTTTCTATTTTACCCTTTTTAAAATTATTAAATATTAATACTATCAAATATTCTCATTAATTAAGGTCATAATAATTTATAGTTATATATAATAACCCATTTATTAAAAGTTTCTCTGAGAGCCAAAAAAATTTTAACGAAAAGCAGGAAAATTTTAAAAATGTGAATCCAAAATGAAAATATTAAAAGCTATAAAAATTCTTTATTCTTATGAGATAGTTAATTTTATAAAAATTATTTATTTATGACCGTGCTTTGTGAAATTTGGCTCCTCCTGGCGGCAAAGCCAAAGTATTTCCCTCTGAATTTTTTTATAGAATTATATAAGAATTTCTAGTAGCATCATAACTAGCCGATACAATTTTTTATAAACAGGTATAATAAATAATAATATTACTTATAATGATGCTAATATAGTTTTTAATCTATTATGTATTCTTCTTCAAAACGTAAAATTGGTTACAAAAATATATTTAAGTCATAGTTTTATAAAAAAAAATTATAAAAATTTTTTAAAAAAATAATACTAAAATCAATACTATGATGATGATGGTATGTTTAGTTAAAATAATTTTTTTTGTTATAAAAGGGATAAAATATTGATTTATATAAATATTTTTTCCTTGCTAAGAGTTTTTTTTTATTATATTACTATATAACAGTGAGAAATTTGTGAAAAATAATAATATAATTCTTCCTATTTATATAATTGTCATATAATAGAAAAAAATAAATTCCTTTTTCCAATTTTTATTCGATAAATAATAGATTGTATGTATTAGTAATAGTTGCAGCTAGTTTAAAATATAAGTGTAATCGGTTATAAAAAACATTAAAACAACTACAGTAATTTTTTTTTATAAAAACATTTATATATTATAATAATATTAATATAATAATTTTTATAAAATAATCTTTACCCCCCCCCCCCCCCTCCACCAAAAAAATTATTTTATTTTTATAGTATATTTGATAACAGCTTAAAACCAAGATGAAGAACATTATTTATGTCCTAATTAAATTATTTGATGTTAGTCCATAACTTTTTCCGCTGATTGTACTTTTTTTTTATGTCAAACTCAAATTAAACTATTCCTTTTATTAAAATATATGACATTTATTTAGTCAAAAAAAATATATAGATTGTTTATATAAAGGCACACGAATCTAGTGTTGGAGATCCAAAACTTTCTGCACCCTTGAGCAAAATCTCCAGCTTACATATTATTATTCCTAAATCAGGCTTTATAACAACGCTATACGAATCGTTTATTCGATTCAATTCGTTTAACCAAATCGAATTCGTATGTAAAATAAAATTTACTAATCGTATTTGATTCTTAAAATAAATCGTTTTCTTAAAAAAATATTATAAAATAATTCATATGAAAATATATTGACAGATTTTTTTAAAATTTTTTATTGGACTATTTTGTGTCATTTAATTTAAAATTCTCATCAATAAAATGAGCTACTGACCCTTGTTAGGGAATTATGAAAATAGAACACATATTCCCACTATATAAATAGTATTTAATTTAAATATTTTTCACATCATAAATTTAATAAATTAAATGTAAATAGTATAATTTAATTGAAATATTTTTCACATTTATTCAATTTATCTTTTATTTATATTAAAATTATAGATTTCAACACTAAAAATTATTACAAATTGTTGACTTATTCTAATAATTGTTTAATCATATTCGAACAAAAAGAATAATTTAGTATTTATATTCGTTTTTATTCGATCCGTTTTTGTTTAAGTCTAATATACTAGTATTATATATCAAAAAAGTATAATGTAGATAAAAACTTTTTAAAAAGGAAGTTATTAGAAGTGGAGATGGGAACTATAATTGTCTAAAATAAATTGGCGATTCTCATAAAATTTTTTTAGAGGCCCCCTCTAATATAAATTTTTTTCTTCCATAAATTAAATATTAAAGGAACTTCATATATAGATTTTTTTTAAAAAAAAATTAATATTTTTTCGGCAATGATGTTTATGTGCATAAACAAGAATATTTTTTTAAAAATAATGTAAGGCTCTCATGGCTAGAGAGAATATTTAAAAAATCAAAGAGATTATGATTTCGCAAGATTAAATTTAATTTTTTAACAAAACTCACATTTTTTAAAAACATAAATTTTCCTTAACCATTTGATGTTATTAAATAAATTAATTTCCTTAATATATGAGCCATTTTTTGGTTGTCAAAATACAAATTTTCTTGGAATGGGTGCAAGCGCCATTCAAGGTCTAAGAAAATTTGCTCAATTTTATACAATAAATAAATGAATTATCCATTATATGATTATGGAAATTTTTATTAAATTGATGTCCAAATTTATCATGAATATATTTACACATGTATGTCATACATTGACATCGTCACCGCTAGTTCTATTTTTTGGTACCAATTAGGTGTTTCGCTCTTAGTGAAATTTAAGGAAAATGAGAGTTAGATTACTATTTTTATAGTAGATGATAAATTTAGCTTAAAATTGATTAAATAAAACTATCTTACCAAGCGCCGCGTTAAAGCCGCGTCATAATTTGCATTCATAAATTTATCTCATTTTATAAACAAAATTTATTTGATATATATAATTTATATGAAATATTTTTTATAATTTATAAGAAATATATTTTTATTGTATTATAAAAATTATATAATTCTACTTTGATATCATATAAATATAGTAAAAATATTATGTAGATAACTCCTATTTTATTTTATTTATTCTTAAATATCCGTTTTTTATATGGGTGAATTTGGAGGCACATCCATATATCTCAATGAAGATAACTCCTTTTCTGATTCGTAAAAATTCCTTAAATCATAATTGTCGTAAATTCCAACGTCGGTGGTATCAGCTATATAATGAAAATATATTTTATTGAAGATATATATAATATATATTTAAGAGATTTAAATTTATTTAATAATAAATATAAGTTGCCATCTCAGGTTTAAAGAGATTAATTTAATTTTCAGTCTTTCAAAAATTTATTTAAAATATATGAAATGATAGTTATAATTTATAACCATTTTATATGAAATATGATTAAATACAGGGGAATATAATTCAGTTGTAGCATTGAATTATCTCTAGCTCTTATCATTTTGGTATTGCTAAAAAATTAATTTTTTTATTTTAGGCAGAATAGGCAGAAAAATATTTTGCTTAAATATATATATATTAAGGCGTGCTCACACTGAGAATGATTTTGCCCTCCCTAGCTACTCCATTGGGAAAATCATATTGATAGTGATTATATAGATTTATCAATAATTTACCGTAATAATTGAATGAACTGATAGAATTTGAATTAGATGAGTCCGATTTTAAATGATTTCGTTCCAAATTGTTAGATAATGCGTCATTTGCATCAAAGTTTAGATTTGGGTTATATCTAAATAAATAATGGTCGAAAATATTTATTTTCTTAATAAAATAAACTTAATATTAACTGATTTAAAGAATAAATAATTTAAATATCAGAAAAAAAAAAGAATCGATAGCAGAACTTATAAGAAAGTGTAAAAAAATATTAGCTTCGCCACTTATGTTGTTCAACTCGTTCATATATAATCCAATAACTTTAGTGAGATTTTTCCAAAATAAAAATAGTTGACACCTAAAGAAAGAAAGAAAGAAAGGAAGGAAGAGAAGAAAGAAAGAAAGAAAGAAAGAAAGAAAGAAAGAAAGAAAGAAAGAAAGAAAGAAAGAAAGAAAGAAAGAAAGAAAGAAAGAAAGAAAGAAAGAAAGAAAGAAAGAAAGAAAGAAAGAAAGAAAGAAAGAAAGAAAGAAAGAAAGAAAGAAAGAAAGAAAGAAAGAAAGAAAGAAAGAAAGAAAGAAGAGAAAGAAAGAAAGAAAGAAAGAAAGAAAGAAAGAAAGAACGAAAAAACGAAAGAAAGAGAGAAAATGTGTTATCAGTTTATCTTTGTGTTTAATTTCCTTCAAATTTTTTTAAATGTATTTTATCAGAAAATGTAAAAATGACTAATTACTCTGACTCCTCCTGATTTTTAAAGTGTTGCATTATTATAATATTATAATTTTAAAATGAGAGAACACTTTTCTTATATTTTAAAGGATATTTTTTAAATAAATTTTTTTATATATTACTCAAGCAATTTGTAGTCTATGAATTGATCCTTGATTATATGTGATTGTGGATGGGTGATAAAGGTGCTGTAATTTTTTATAAGAGGTGTTGAACAATGTGATAAGTATTTTTGATCAGAGTTATTTTTAAATTGATTCCAAAATGAATTGTACAATTGATTTGCCATCAAAGTTTTTATGTGTTTCTTTCCGCCGCTTGGCGTTTTAGTATATGTTTGATCTACTTGCCATACATTGGTGATGTTTGTTAATGCCCTCGATGATAACTTTTTATGGGTAAGGACTTTAGTTTCTACGATTATTTAAATTATTGTATTGATGATTATTTTTTATGAAACCATACTTGTATCAAGATCGACTCTATCTTGACTAGCTTGAGGATCAGTTTGCTTGGAGGGAATATTTTTGACATTTTTAAAGTGTTTTTCTTTAAGATAATCCGGTCCTAACCATTCCAACGATCTATTATTACCTAATTTTTAATTATATATTACAAGAAAAAAGGAGTTATATAATAGATTTTGTGTATGACAAAATAAGATTAGCATGGGATAGTCTATTATTTTTTAGGTATAGGACCAAAAGGGCGAGTGATTTATTTTGTTATTAAAAATAGCAGTTGGACTATTGACATTTTAAACAGATAGATTAGGCCTTTACCGTATATGTATGTAGCATTTTGAATGCACCCTCAATACCGCTTAATAGTAAAAACAATGTGACCCCTTATTTTAGATTATCACCCCTCTTAAAAAGAATCGAAATTTACTTTTCGCATCGAAAGGTTTGTGATAAATTTTTTTATGGAAATTATAAGCTTTTAAATATTCCTTTTTACAGGGATCGTAATTTTCATTTTTGATTCTCAAGTACGGAAAATCTATGCGGGATAAAGAGGTTTCAACATTAGAGAACCCAAACGCTTGAGTGTTTAATGGCTCTACTTTACTGTTTATTTTTATTGTCCTTGCATCATTACTTTCTCCATAATTGTTTTTCAGAGGCTCATTAGTTAATCTAAACAAAAATAATAATTACAATAAAGATTTTATTAAAATATAAAGAGAATGATAATAACGATTGAATATTTTAAAAAATGAAATAGATTTTGCAAGAAGAAAAGAAAGATGATTTGAAGACGTGTTCGACTTATTATTAAACAACTATTTAGCCGTGTATATAGCTTCGGCTAAGCAACCTAAAAAGCAAAAGAAAAAAAAACAAAAAAAAGAACAAAAAAAAGAACAAAAAATAGGGAAAATAACAATGTCACCAAACACTTAAAACCAAAATAGGGTGTCCTAGTTCAAAGCTGTTTAGCCTTGGTTAAACACAAAAGTAATCAAATCAGGATAGGGCTAGAAATTGGAGCTAGGCGAATTTTGTTAAATATTTAATAGTGAAGGTCACGATTCGGTTCAGTTCGGAGTCAATTTTCAAAGACTGAATTGCAAAATCAATTCTAAAGACCATGCAGAAAAGTGAACCTCATATAAAGATCAAACAGGAACGTGGTTCAGACAGATTATTTTTGGTTTTGAAAAAAATAAATATTTATATAAAATTTAAAAATTTAATTTATGTTAATAGAGGATTCATAAAATAGGATAAATACAATAAACAATATTATTTTAAAATGGAATAATAATAACATCTTCAATAAGATTTGATTGAAAATTTTTTCCCTAAATAATATTCCATTTTTGAGCCAGGCCCAATACACATGATAGATTATCATATTTATTCTCTTTTTAGTTATTAAGTCATCTGCTTTATAAAATAATTGTTCACAAGAAACTGAAATTGCTTGAATTTTTTTTATTCCATTTTAACATTCTAAAAGTTATTGATATTATTTAAGTTTATTTGATAATTATAAAAGATAATATAAAATTTTCCTATCCTACCAAACCGTACAGAGAACCGATATAAACACCGAGTCAAATAGCGGAAACGATTCTAAAAGCCAAACTGCCACGGTTTGGTTTGAACGGTGGCCTTCAAGAATATTAAAGCAATTATATTTTTTCAGTTAATATTAAGGGGAAAGAATGATGGTAGTAAAGATAAATTATTTTAGAACTGTACCATTGTTTTTTAAATAGTGTCTCCAATTAAAATATAAGGTCTGAAATGCCTAAGAAGCGGGGCAGTTTAGTAGGAATGTTACGCTACTATGGTTAGAGCGATTCGGTATAGCGATGCAAAATTAATCGTCAAAATCACAGGTCACAGCGATAATATTTTTTGAAATATACAGGTGTAAGCGATTTGATTATTTGTCTCAGTATTTATAAATTATATCTCATATTAGCTTGATTATGTAGATTACGTAGCCAAAAATTTCGCATAGCTTGAGCGAATTGCGTTTACTATAAATGCAGCCTTAGACAAGAAGAACGTGGAAAGGGCTTGGGAGGTGATGGTAGATCATAACACATGAATTAGTAAATTGATTTTTTTTAAAAACTATTTAGCAATCACCAAATCCGTATAATAAAAAGTAGAAGTTGTGCAGTTAAAAAAAATGAGAAAGGACTGGTTAGATGTTTAGGCAAATGAAAAAAGACAGAGGATGATATCGCAAAATATATTTAAGTATTGAATTAATTAGTAATTAGTTGGAAAACAGAGAAACGCAAGGAAAAGGTCTGAAAATGAATCAAGAAGATTTATTGGGAAATACTCATTTTTAACAAGCAAATAAAGTTACGATTTAAAATGAATTACATAGCTATATATTTTATATTTTATAGAGAGACCTAATTAAACGTTTGTGTTTCGTTATGCAAAAGCAAATTTATCACAATTTATAAACATTTATAAAAACGCAAGCTGATGCTTTTTTTGAAAATGCTCAATTAGGTCGCACTATTGACTATTATTTGTTTGCTTTTTAAAAATACCCGATGTAGGCCTCGTTTATAGTAATTGAGAAAAAAGGCGACATCACTCTCCAGCGCAATGCGAAAAATACAAAATTAAGTAAATAATATACCTTTAGATGAATTGCAGAGATATCTTAGCGTATACTTCATCGAAGTTACTTTGAGATACCATCAACCAAAGTGATTGAAAAGACAATTAAAATATTAGAGGGAATATCTGACAATTGACAAAAAAACTACATAAAATAAAATTTTGACGAAAGAAGATACATTTCATTATACATTCAAAAAATTATAGTAAAAAAAATTTTTTTTATTCTTAATAATTTATATTACAAAACTAAAAAAAACATTATATTAAATTAAAAAAGATTATACCTAGTATTCATGTGAATATCTCCTTAATTTGTCGATATTAGAAAATTATGTGTAGAGTATATATATATATATTGTATAATAAGGTTTTAATTAATTCTAATTTTTTTTTGTAGAATATGACTTATTGTATGTACTTTATGTACTAAATTGTAAAAAAGAACTTCGTTTACCATTAATATCAAAGATATAAATTTAGAAGACAAAAAAATGTATTCCCTTTTAAGTATTTTTTTTAAATTTTACACTTTAAGACCTTAATTGTATCATTGATCATATTATCTACAAAGTCAATGGCGTATACAAGGTAGGGGGGGGGGGAATTAAACCGACCCCCATATGAAAAATATGATTAAATAAAGTTTGTTTATATAATGTTTCTATATTGATATCTAAACGAAAATTTGCTATTATTTCTATTAGAAAATTTCTTTAACTTAAAAATACGTAAAATAATCCTTATAATTTTAATAAATAAACAATACTATAATAAGTATAGCACATTTAATTTTTTAATCAAATTTCCAAATAAAAAAATTTGTTATAAATTATATTTAAAAAAATATGGGATACTTTCCAGCAGGGTTTCAAACCATTAAGCATAACGGTTCGGTTTGTTCCGGTTTTTTAAAATTTTATAAAGGTTTTGTTCCATTTCGGTTTTTTTAAAAAAAATTTATATCGGTTTGGTTTTTAATTTATAACGGTTCTTTTCGGTTTGTTCCGGTTTTATAAATTTAATTTAAAATAAATTAATCACATTTACCATGTATATATTAATTTTAGAGAAAAATCTTTTTAATTTATAATTTCTTATTTAATTTAACCATGATAATCTAATAGATATTTTTATTAAACTTAGTAAATATAAATTAGACAAATTAATTTTTTTATTTCATAAATAAATAAGATAAAAACAAACATGCGTAAATACAATGATGAATAAAATAACGCATAAATATAATAAAATGTATACTATTTATGTTTAAAAAGAGAATTAGAACGGATAACTAAAATATTTTCTAATATTTCAGTATTTAATTTAGTTCTCTGCGCAGAGAGTATAATCCTAAGGCTAGAAAATGCTCTTTCTACGGATACCTGTGTAGCTGGAACTGCTAGCACAGTTATAGCTAACTTATAAAGTTCTGGCATACTATTCTTTACATTTTCCCAATAATTCAAAAAATTAATATCTTTTTCTAATCTCTCTATATTATCAAATGACCGAATTATATATTCTATTACTATACATATATTATAATTTTCTATTCCCTGAGAATTATTCTTATTAAGACTTTCATGCGACTTTAATAAATCTTCATAAGCATCATCTAAATTATCTTTGCGAACACGTAGGCATAGTATTTAGAATTTCAATACTCTGACTATTTAAACTTTGTATCAAGTTCCAAATTTTACAAAGATGTTTTCTGGTGATCTCTCTTTCTTCAAATGTTAAAAATATTATTTTAATAATAATAAATTTATAATGACTTAAATGAATATTAGAATTTTGAATTTAAAAAAAACAATATGATTATAAATAAAAAATTATTATATCATTAAAATATTGCTGACCATTTTATTTATTGTCATTTAAATTCTATGATCCAAGTTTTTATAATGAGATAAAAATATAAACCATATAGTATAAAAATGAAAGTAAAAAGTACTTGATTTCTATTAGACGTTAGTTATTAAGAATTATTTAATTTTTTCCTAAATTATTAGCAAGTATTATTATAAAAGCTTATTAATAACTTATATATATAAACTTGTTAATTTAGCCAAGAATAATTATGTGTGATATTAAGATATCTTATCTAATTAACAGATAATTTGCCTAATCTCTAATAAAATAAGTATTTAAAGAAAAAAAACAATAAACTTGGTATTAATTGATATATAATGTTGATAATATATAAATATTTAATTTGAAAAGAAATCACCAATTTTAAAAAATTAGGAAAATTAAAATTTCAAATTTAGGTTAATAATTACAAATTAATTATTTTTTTAAACCGTTCTGAAACGGTTTAAATCGGTTCAAAATATTTCTAACGGTTCGGTTCGCTCTTTTTATATTTTCTTTATAACGGTTCGGTTAAGGTTACGGTTCAGAAAATCATAACGGTTCATTCCGGTTTGGCGGTTCGATTTGAAACCCTGCTTTCCAGTAAAGTATCTCAAATTTATCCAATGGGAAGGGGGGGGGTCACAATTTTTTGAAGACTTTGCCCCTAAACCTTTATTTTACCGGCTTTTTTTGACTACGGAAAATCCGGATTATGTATTTTTGGTTTACCCGGGGTTATTTTTATTTTGCTCTTTTTAAAATATGTAATTTCTTTATATCAATTCCGTTAAAAGTTGGCTGAACGATTGGAAGCACTAATTCTAAAATATTTGCTAAAGTTTCGGGCTTTATTAGTGTATATGAGACTAGTAGATTATTCAATGTTAAAAGCTTAATTATATTTAATTTTAATCCGTTTGATAGATAGTATGAAGGGAAATAAAATTATTAGCAAAATAAGGGGAAAAAATGCCAAATTTGGCATCATGCTATGGAAATAAAGAATTAAATATCTGAATTGTGTTAATATTTAGTGTCTTACTAATAGCTTTTACCTTAAAAAATAAAATGTCATACATAATCCCATACGAATTATAGTCTTTGGGAAGTAAATTTTTTAAATATAATTTAAAAATATTTTATATAAAAATTTGATTATAAAATAAAATTTCCATTAAGTATCATATTAACGCATCTAGATATTTAGTGCTACTATAATTTAAGTTCTAACTTGGTCCCTCTCTTAGCAATTTTTCATTTTTTTGTCAATAATGAGTTTTTATTTAAATTTTCTAATAGACTGGTTTAAGTACTAAAAGTTTATATACACCATTAATTATTTATATTCGTTCAGACTTAATGTTTCCAGAAGTTTGGTTATCTTCACACTTAAGACTCTTTATTATAGCTTTATGTGGCTTATAATTCGATTATTTTTCTGTGGTTGGCGAAATTGATTGAAGTATTAATAAGTAAGACACTAAATATTAATGCAAACAAGATTTTTAGAACTTCCTAGTCTCCGTTATGGCATGATGGCAATTGTGGAAATTTTTTCCCTTGTTATACCAAGAATACCCCCCCCCCCTACTATAAGCAATCTAACTAACTGATTTGATATAAGTTTCAGAATTAAGGTTTTCAAAAGCTTGGTTCATATACTCAAAATTTGATGTCAGCTTTCTTTATGTTTATGTTTTTATTTGTGGTCAGCAAAAATGGTAGGGGAAATACTAACCCAGCACTAAATTTTAGCGCAAACCAGATATTTTTCTTATATATTTTACATTCTGGCATGATGCCAATTTTTGCACTTTCTTTCATTCAAATATACTTAATCAGAATTATTTATAGGCGGGACACTGTTAAAGCCCATGCAAATGTAGATTGGATTTGAAGATAGAAACTCTTCTCCCCAGAAATAATTTTTGTTCTTAACCCACCCCCGCCTGAATAAATCCTGAAGCCATTTTTTTTTAAATTCTCAAAAACTCTTAAAAACCAAATTACAATATTTTTTCTTTATGGCAACAATTATTATTTCTTATGATTTCATCTTTTTTTATATACTATAAAATATAAAGGCATTTGCGTGTAAAATTATTATATATTTGTGGTGTTTTAATATGCAATGATCTGAATCTAAAAATATTGATTTACAAAAAAAATTATCAATTCATTATTCTTTTCTTATGATTATGAATGAGACATTAGATAAGAAAATAATTTAAACAAAATTGTAAAATATCTTATCGATTTAGGCTTTTTATAATATCTTATTATGATTTATATTTTAATTCAGGATAATCAGTATATTGTTTGGAAGGGTGAGGGGAGGGGGGGGGGTCATGGGGTATATTTCCTGAAAATATGAAAGAAACGTGACCCTTCCAAATGTTTTACAAAAAAGAAGGGATTTAGCGTGACTTCGCTAAGAAGATATAATCGGAATGGCTTTTCATATAATGAAATATTATATCTTTATAAATTAATCATTTTCATTTTATTTAATTATAAAATATCAGAGACCTGTTGGCCCGGCCCAAAGCCTGGCCCGGGTACCAGGGCCGGGCCATATTTTAAAATTTTAAAATATACCCGGGATTTTTAAAATATACCCGGGCCGGGCCTGTAAATTATTTTTTTTAAAATACCCGGGCCGGGCCTAATTTTTTAAAAAAATTTTATACAACATGAATTATTATATTCGTCAATTAGATATGGTTATAATGATTATATATAGTTATGATTAATATAATGTTTGGTGAAAGTTAACACTAGCTAACACTCATAGTATCTATTACATAATAAAATTATAGTTTTCCTGCCATGGAATAAATACGCAAAGGATTAAATACATATATTATATAATATAAGTTATATTTTTTATTAATCAAAATATCATTTTTATTTTTTTTATAAATACATAGTATATTCTCAAAATATTATTTACACAAATTTTTTTATAGTATCAATTTGTAATATACTAAATATCTGTTAAGAATGAAAAAAAAAATATGAGTGTTGTTAAACGGCTTGTTTTGAGCCGATTTCTAAAAACGGCTAACTCAGTTTTTTATCCAGAAAAATATTATGCAAGCCTGAAAA